CATGCGAACGCAGCCACTGGGGCCCTCGGTGGAGCTCCCTATGGGGCCACGAAACGTGTGATGTCGGTGGAGCTCCCTATGGGACCACGAAACGTGTGAGGGGTGTGCCGAAATGCGTGCGGTGCCGCCATGCGAACGCAGCCACTGGGGCCTTCGGTGGAGCTCCCTATGGGGCCATGAAACGTGTGAGGGGTGTGCCGGTGCGGTGCCGCCATGCGAACGCAGCCATTGGGGCCTTCGGTGGAGCTCCCTATGGAGCCACGAAACGTGTGAGGGGTGTGCCGACATGGGCGCGGTGCCGCCATGCGAACGCAGCCACTGGGGCCCTCGGTGGAGCTCTCTATGGGGCCACGAAACGTGTGAGGGGTGTGCCGAAATGAGTCCGGTGCCGCCATGCGAACGCAGCCATTGGGGCCTTCGGTGGAGCTCCCTATGGGGCCACGAAACGTGTGAGGGGTGTGCCCAAATGGGTGCGGTGCCGCCATGCGAACGCAGCCACTGGGGCCTTCGGTGGAGCTCCCTATGGGGCCACGAAGCGTGTGAGGGGTGTGCCGAAATGGGTGCGGTGCCGCCATGCGATCGCAGCCACTGGGGCCCTCGGTGGAGCTCCCTATGGGGCCACGAGCGTGTGAGGGGTGTGCCGAAATGGGCGCGGTGCCGCCATGCGAACGCAGCCACTGGAGCCCTCGGTGGAGCTCCTTATGGGGCCACGAAGCGTGTGAGGGGTGTGCCGAAGTGGGTGTGGCTGACGCGGAGGGGGAGGAGGGAGGAGGGGGAGGTGGAGTGAGTGAGGGACGCGGGGCGCTGTCTCTTCAAAAGGAGGACCCAACACCACAGGACGGTTGGGAACAATTTGCCTGGAGAAGAACCCAACCATATGCAGTTGTCAGTACCGCAGCTGCGGGTTTCATCTTCAGTGGACCTCCCCATAGGACTACGGAACGTGTGAGGGGTGTGTCGGGATGGGTGCCACTGGGGCATTCGGCGAAGCTCCCTATGGGGACATGAAACACGCGCGGGGCGTGCCGACATGGGTGGCGGAAGCGCATGTGAGGGCCGCCACTGGAGCCTCCAGTGGAGCTCCCTATGGGTCCCCGAAACATGATGCTGCTGCGGGGGGGGGCCGGGATGGGTGGCGGAGACGCATGTAAGCGCCGCTACTGGGGCCTTCGGTGGAGCTCCCTATGGGGCCACGAAGCGCGTGAGGGGTGTACTGGGATGTGTGGCGGGGACGCATGTGAGCGCCGCCACTGGGGCCTTCGGTGCAGCTCCCTATGGGGCCACGAAGCGTGTGAGGGGTGTGCCGAATGGGTGCGCGTGGTGACGCATGCGGGCGGTGCCACTGGGGCCTTCGGTGGAGCTCCCTATGGGGCCACGAAACCTGTTGTTGTGAGGGGCGTGCCGGGATGGGTGGCGGGGACGCATGTGAGCGCGGCCGCTGGGGCCTTCGGTGGAGCTCCCTATGGGGCCACGAAACGTGTGAGGGTGTGCCGAATTGGGTGGGTGTGGGTGACGCACGTGAGCGCCGCCACTGGGGCCTCCGGTGGATGATGGGGCCACGAAGCCTGTGAGGGATGTACCGAAATGGGTGTGCGGGACGCATGCGCATGTGACCGCCGCCACTGGGGCCTTCGGTGGAGTTCCCCATGGGGCCACGAAACGTGTGAGGGGTGTGCCGAATTGGGTGTAGGTGACGCATGCGGGCGGCAGCACTGGGGCCTTCGTTGGGGTTCCCTATGGGGCCACGAAACGTGTGAGGGGTGTGCCGATTTGGGTGTGGGTGACGCATGCGGGCGGCAACACTGGGGCCTTCGGTGGGGTTCCCTATGGGGCCACGAAACGTGTGAGGGGTGTGCCGAATTGGGTGTGCGTGACGCATGCGGGCGGCAGCACTGGGGCCTTCGGTGGGCCCTATGGGGCCACGAAACGTGTGAGGGGTGTGCCGAATTGGGTGTGCGGGACGCATGCGGGCGGCAGCACTGGGGCCTTCGGTGGGGCTCCCTATGGGGCCACGAAACGTGTGAGGGGTGTGCCGAATTGGGTGTGCGTGACGCATGCGGGCGGCAGCACTGGGGCCTTCGGTGGAGCTCCCTATGGGGCCACGAAACGTGTGAGGGGTGTGCCGAATTGGGTGTGCGTGACGCATGCGGGCGGCAGCACTGGGGCCTTCGGTGGGCTCCCTATGGGGCCACGAAACGTGTGAGGGGTGTGCCGAATTGGGTGTGCGGGACGCATGCGGGCGGCAGCACTGGGGCCTTCGGTGGGGCTCCCTATGGGGCCACGAAACGTGTGAGGGGTGTGCCGAATTGGGTGTGCGTGACGCATGCGGGCGGCAGCACTGGGGCCTTCGGTGGAGCTCCCTATGGGGCCACGAAACGTGTGAGGGGTGTGCCGAATTGGGTGTGCGGGACGCATGCGGGCGGCAGCACTGGGGCCTTCGGTGGGGCTCCCTATGGGGCCACGTGTGAGGGGTGTGCCGAATTGGGTGTGGGGACGCATGCGGGCGGCAGCACTGGGGCCTTCGGTGGGGCTCCCTATGGGGCCACGAAGCGTGTGCCGAATTGGGTGTGCGGACGCATGCGGGCGGCAGCACTGGGGCCTTCGGTGGGGCTCCCTATGGGGCCACGAAACGTGTGAGGGGTGTGCCGAATTGGGTGTGCGTGACGCATGCGGGCGGCAGCACTGGGGCCTTCGGTGGGGCTCCCTATGGGGCCACGAAACGTGTGAGGGGTGTGCCGAATTGGTGTGGGTGACGCATGCGGGCGGCAGCACTGGGGCCTTCGGTGGGGCTCCCTATGGGGCCGCGCGCATGCGGGCGGCAGCACTGGGGCCTTCGGTGGGGCTCCCTATGGGGCCGCGAAACGTGTGATGGGTGTGCCGAAGTGGGTGTGGTTGACGCGGAGGGGGAGGAGGGGGGAGGGGGAGGAGGAGAGGAGAGGAGAGGAGGAGAGGAGAACGCGGGGCGACGTCTCTTCAAAACGAGGACCCAACACCACAGGATGGTTGGGGAAAAAACGAAAGGGAAAGAGAAAGCGAAATCAAACGATAGAAAGGGAGAGAGAAAGAGACAGGAGGAGGAGAATGAGGAGGAGGAACACGAGGAGGAACACGAGAAGGGAGAGGAACAGCAGCGGCTGAATGAGGATGAGGAGCAGGAGGAAGAGGATCATGATAACGGTAGGAGGGCGAGGAGGTGGACGAGTAGGCGGACGCGGGGGGGGGGGTACGAGGAGTGGCAGCAGCAACAGGCTTGGGTGGCGGAGCAAGGGCGGGCACACACAGGCGCGCTGAGTGCCCCGCCCTGCGGGGCATCGGGGGTGGGGATTTCTGCGTGCCGTCGCGGAGGTGAGGGAGCGAGACGTGCGGAGCCCAAAAACGTCAGGCGGATGGAGTTGTGTCCTATCGCGTCGTGTCTCCTCGAGCTCAGCCTCCAGGGGGCCGCCTGCGTGCTCCTCCCCCCCCCAAGGGCAATCAATCACGCCCCCTGGGGAGGGGGTCGAGACTTCTGGCGCCCGCGGGCTACAAAGGCAAGACGCACAGCACATCTAAAGCAAGCCACAGTTCAGGATGGGGACGGGGGGGGCTGCCTTTGACCTGGGACCTTTCGAGGCTGGCACGGCCTGGGGCGGGAAGCATGAGTTCGGAGGGCCACGTCGAATGCAATCGCCGCCCTGCAGTCTCCACATCTTATCCAATAGTGATGGTTACAAAGAGCTTTCGCAGGGCAAATCAGGGGAGACTCTGGCAGTGACGAATGAGAACCTCAAGATCCAGCGCTTGCTTCCACTGCACAGATGCTCGGCCCATCAGCATCATCTCAACCACCACGTTGCCCATCACAGCGCTTCTTCACCTTGCCTCATTTTCACCACACTTTATTGCAACTAGTTACACCTGCCGATCGATGAGGACAAAGAGCAGGACAAAGAGCAGGACAAGGAGGCGGAGGACAGAGGAGGAGGGCAAATGGGGAGGAGGAGTAGGAGGAGGAGGAGGAGGAGAAGGAGGAGGAGGAGGAGGGGGATGAGGAGGATGAGGAGGAGGCATGAGGACAAAGAGTAGGAGAAGGAGGAGGAATTGGAGGAGGAAGAGTGATTGGTTGTATCATCGTGGGGCTTCCCGCGCTAACCACTCACTGGTGCCGTGGTCTGGGAGCCTTCCGACGTCATTCGCTTGCCTCCGCAGCTTTGTTGTCGGTCAATCGCATCGGGCATGGGCTCTGGGTGTGGATGCGCTCCTGGAGACCATCGCAAGATTGTAAGTTGTTCTTGAGATGCACTGTCTTGGATACCCATTTCCCCTGACCAGTGCACTGGCCCACTCCCCGCCGTGCACGTCTGTAGGTCTGGCCGTTCGTGCAGTGGTACGACAGTGTGGTCTTTGCGCTGCTGCCATCTCCGGGCCAAGAAGGGCTCGAACGCACATGTGAACCCAGCCACCTTCGGGAGGCCAAGAGGGGGGTGATGACCAGGGGTGTGTGGATATCATGGCGGGGGCCATGATATTTCCCCAGATTTCATGGCGCCTCTTCTTCTTTCATTACGTCCCTGGCCCCCTGTCGGGCGCCGATGCCAGCAGCGCTTTGAGAAACCACGCCTTCACTTGAGAAAGAGGAGAATTGCGTTGCCATGCTTCCTTCCACTCGCCGTCGCGCTTCCCGATCTCTCGCTTGTCCGTCTGGCCATGCCCTTGCAGGCCCCCCCGGAGGCTCGCAAAGGGCCAGAAGCGTCCGAAAACGTCTGTCCATGAGGAAGAGGAGGAGGAGAAGGAGAAAGAAGAATAAGAAGATGAGGAGGAGGTCCAAACGCCGAGGAGGTCTTCATCACTGCCGACGCCCAGCTTGCCTCGATCCTAAGGAGTAGGAAGAGCTGAGGAGGAGGAGGAAGAGGAGGAGAGAGAGGGAGGGATGATACAGGAACATACATAATGATGGCAACATGGGTCAACAAAAAAAGGAATGGAGCAGGTGGAGGAGCAGGAGGAGGCCCCACGCGCCCAAGGGGGATCCAGAAGCAGAGGAGGTCTTCAGCATGGCCGACGACCGGGTCCGCTCGCTGGCGGTGGGGGGGTCACGGGAAAGAGAAGGGGAGGATGACGAGGAGCACGATTATTCCAGACCTCCCGGATGGGGTCAGAGCAGATGGAGTCGGAAGACGGAAGATCGCGCCGCATCCCCGACGTATCGGCAGTGAGGCTCGATGTGGAGCCAGATCTTCTCCACGACAACGTCGCCGATGCATCGCCGACGTCGCCGATGCATCCGCGATGCAATGGCGATGCTGCGCGATCCTCCGACCCCATGACCTCGACAACGGGTATACGCTGTTCTGTGATGGTGTTTGCAAGCAACCAGGGGGCGTCCTGCCTAGGCCTGCGAACGGCGGTGTCGTGCGCGTCGACTGGTTAGTCTCTGAAGTTGTCGTTCCAGGAAGTTCGGGCCCCACTCCCTCGTCACTTACCCTCGGGCTCTGGGGACATGTTTTCTTGGACGGTAGCTGGTTTAAGCACCATGTCAAATAATGGTCTCGGAGTGGATGGTGTCTAGCCATGGGACATGATCAAGCTCAGCTGACATGTGAGATTATGGCCCTAGTGTGGCGTCCCTACCTTCAGACCTCCGAATCGGCGGAGTTCGGGGCTTTAGGGGCTTCGAATTTCTCTCCGGAGCATGAAGCTGACCTGTATAGTGACTGTAACAACGTCGTTGGCTTCTTCTTGCAAGGCTCGGCCAGGTTCATTTCGCCTAGGCTCCAGTATTCGGGGCGTTTGATTCACGGCGCTGCTGGCGCGGTCTCATGGATAAGGAGTCTTAGTAAAGTAGAAGCCCACAAGGATTTGGACGAACCAGGCATTTCTGAACAAGAGCGTTTGATCATTGACGCAGGTGCCAAGCGAGCTGTTCATTGGCACCCTCCTTTCCCTGACAATGCCTTGGCTGAAGTCCCTTATGGCCTTGCCTTTTCCCCTCACAGTGCCTTGCCATTCCCCCTCCTCTCCCTCACAGAATTCTGATTGCCCGTATGGTCATGGACCTGGGAGCTGCCTTGCTCCATCTCGCCTGGAAGCTGCCTTGCTCCCTCTCGTACCTCGGGTGGAATGATTGGGTGAGCGTGTGCCTCCTCCCCGCCTCCTCCTGCCTCGAAGAGAGGCCCACACCTCTGGGTGCTCATGCCCCATCCCTGTCGCTGCAAGACTTGCCTCAGTCGGCTCCTCGAGCGCCTCCAGGCCTGCCGAGGGGCTCTTCTTGGGGCCACAGCAGGCTCGACGCAGTTGTTCTAGATGCGGGGGTGGACAGGCCTCCTACCCTGACACGTCGATTAGCGAATTGGCCGTTTTCGGTTCGCGAGAGGGCGTCGCGGCCGTCATTTTTGCGGATCCAGGTCCGTCGGTTTCGGCCCCAGGCCGTTTTCACTAAGGGGAGGTTTACTAAAGGGAGGTTTGTCCACCGCCGATAGATCGGCTCCAGCACAGAGTGATCGCGCTGGAGGACAGCGATCACTCACGAATTTCCATCTGTCTGAGGTGCAAGTGTTAAGTCGGGCATGTCCCTCTACAGGAGGAAAATTCAAAAATAGTCAAAAAAATGTATGGGGGCGATGATTGATATTTGTTTGACCATTTAGGGGGTATGTTTGGAGTATTTTTGATTTTTCGTCCAAAACCCCCTTGTAGGGGGACAGGCCCGACCTAATGCAAGTGTCACTCGTCTGGTGCCCGGGCGTGTGCGAGTTGGGCCTCGCATGCCGAGGTCCCGCGTTCCAATTGGGAAGCGCCACTGGGACCAGAGTGCGGAAAAAGGCCTCCACCCAGACAGGCAAGTTGCCAGTCTTGATTTGGACCACGTGCGCCCTCTTTTTGTTCCTGCCTCGGAGCCCCCATGCAGCCCCCGCCTGTCGTTGTCAAAGTCTTATGCTCCGACCTCCCCTCGGATGGTGAGGACAGGCGCACCGATGCGCTTGTGCAGTCGTTGGTGGGATCGGCTGGGCTGGCTGGCATTGGGGGCGGGACGGAGGGTTCTGCCCTTTAGTTGTTTCGCGTCTTTGCCGCGCTCGCTTCGGGAGGAGGAGGAGGACATGATGTTTCTCTTCCCAGGAGTCGTCGCGAAGCCTTCCTGCGACGATCCTGAGGATTCCTCTCGGGTTTATTCAGAGTGTCGGCGGGATCACTCTCCTTTCTCTTTGCCCCATTGTCTGCCCTGTGCTCGGGTGCTCCCCGTCTGCTCCGTTGGGACAAGCTCTGTGGTGCTCTGGGCCTGTCTCCTGTCCTCCTCCTTCTCCTCCTCCTCTTCCTCCTCCTCCTCCTCCTCCTACTCCTTCTCCTACTCCTTCTCCTCTTCCTCCTCCTCCTCCTCCTTCTCCTCCTCCTCCTTCCTGGCCAGGCACTCCCGAGCCTCCCGAGGGCCCCGGGGATCTCGAGAGAGTGTAGGGGCGGTCTCCCGCCCAGTCCGCGGCTCGCAGCGCAGTCTCCGCCGCTGGCCCCGCTGCGCACCGTTGAGGCAGCCGTCGGTGTGGAAAAAGAGGAGACGCAGGAGGAGGAGGAGGAGGAGGAGGAGGAGGGAGGAGAGGAAGGGAGGACTAATGAATCAGGAAGGAAGGGGGGGAGGAGGAAGGAGGAGAAGAGGGCGGGAGAAAGGATGGCACGAAAGTCAGTACAAACATGTGGATGCTTCTCCATGTGTTGATTGAAAGCCCCGGAATTTTTTTAAAATATTCGACGCCCGACTGAACCGTATGGAAGCCTGCGAACTCATCACCCGACTTCCCCAATCATCCACCTCCTCCTCCTCCTCAGCCCTCTTCCGTTCCCATCCTCCTCCTCCTCCTCATCATCACCACCTCCATCAGCAGCAGCATCACTGTCGTCATCATCATACCCTCCTCCCCTTCCTCCCTTCCTCCCTCCCTCCGTCCCCTTCCTCCCGTTCCGCCTACTCCCTCCCTGCCTCCCTCCCTCCCTCCCATCATTCCCTCCTCGCCCAGCCGGCGGGGGAGGACTTCGATGACGGCGCCTTGTTGGGGCCGGCGGCGCCGCTGCTGCTGGCGTGCGGGAACCCCACGGTCGACCTCTCGTGCGAGGCGGCCCCTGTCCGGGCGGGCTGAGGCACAGTTGGCCTCGTGGGCGGGGGATCGCGGGCGGGGTGCCACCAGAGTAAACCGAAGATGCCTCAAGGAGATTGCCATATCCCCTTCCGTCCCACGCCCCCTTGTTCGTAGGTCCCTGCGGTCCGTGCGTTCCAAACACAAGACACGCCGCTTTGGAAGACCAGCGCCTGATGTGCCTGCCATTCACAGTTTGACAGCACAGTTGCCGTGCATCCTTCCAGCGATTCGCACAGCTTTCAGAAAAGGTAGGATCATACCACTGGTCAGCGATGTGTTCAGCGGGATCACCGTTTTGGAAAAGAACCTCCTTCCATCTGTGCAGCTGCTGCATAAGCTTACAACATCCCGAGCACGTTATTGTGAACACGAGCCACCCCCACATGTGCAACCGATACATATGTTCATGTGTGCCATCTTGAAGTTCAAGGAGCACTCAAGCGGTTGCTTCATTCTGGAATTGGGGCCGTCCTCCATCCGCGAAATTATTGCAAAACGTGAAGAGTGAGTGTGGGCGGCGCTAGGGCATGTGTCTCTGCTTGAACAAGACGTGTGTAACGTCCTTGAAACGCTCGAAGACTTTGACGATGATTGCTCTCAGCGTTGACAACTTCGTTTGCTCCATCCTTGAAACTGTTGTCAACGTTTAAGACACACGTGCACCGTGGTAAGGCGTCTGCTCCGATTTGGAAGACGCCCCCCCGCTCCACCCTTACAACCGCTGCAAGCGTGTACGACGAATGTGTGCGGCGCTGATACGAGAGGTACATCTTGAAAACGAACCCCTTTATCCTTGTAAGCGTTGCCCATCTTCACGACGAATGCTAGCGGCGCTAAGGCGAGAGCCACATTTAGAAGACCACTCTGGTCGGAGGAGGAGGATGAGGAGGGCAGAGGAGGGTGAGGAGGACGAGGAGAAGGAGGGGGAGGCGGCGGAGGAGGAGGACGGGGTGGGGAAGAAGGGGGAGGGCGAGAAGGAGGCCGAGGGGGAGTCGAGGAGAAGGTGCTCCCAGGGAAGAGGGCCCTCCAAGGCCCTTCCTTGGCCAAAGAGACCGTCAAAGAGCAACTCCAGGGGGACAACATTCTTTTGGGGAAAAGCACCAGGGTCCAGCACCCCGTCCCAGAGAAGAGAAGAGGGGAGCGAGGAGGGGCAGGGCAGGAGGGCGGGGGGGGGGGACGAGGACGAGGACAGAGAGGAGGATCTGGCGTGCTTGCCTCCAACAGCCGTGTCCCGTCGAAATCCTTCGGGGAAGCCCCGATGGGTCCCGAACGGCCGCCAGAGGCTCGAATGAATCCCTTCCTCTCATTCCTCCTCCCCCGGCTGCTTCCCCTCCCCGAGGCCTACGGAGGCCCCTGGGGGCCCAAAGAGCTTGCGAGAACCTCCGCCCTCGCCCCCCTCACTGGCGCCGACGTCCTCGACGAGGTCCGCCTCGACGAGGAAGTTCGCCCCGCCTCCGTCCAGCAGCACCGCGTATTGACTTTAAGATCCTGCGGGTGCCGCACGCGCAGATGCGTCAACCGGGCCCAGCGCTCCCATCGCAGGAACAGTCAGCCACGCGCAGAGGGGGGTGGGGGGAGCGGGGAGGGCTTCTTAGAAGCACCCCTGCTTCTCAGAAGGCGCGGGCCTTATCTGTAGATGCAAGGCCGGCGCCTTCTAAGAAGCAGGCTCCTTCTAAGAAGCCCTCCCCCCTCCCTCCACCCCCTGGTGCGCGACGCCAAAACAGAGCCAATCTGTGAAGGGGCCCCGGAGGGTGCCCGCTGCTCGGTTTGTTCGGCCACGAGTCGTAGTGGCCCCAGCTGGAGCGGGAAGGGCGGGCGCTGTTCCAGCATCTCCACCGCAGCGGGCACTTGCACGTGCAGCGCACATGTGTTTCCGCCGTGGCCCAGGGCGTGGTTTCGATGTGGATCAGTCGTGGTGCGGGCGTGGTTCAGGTGTGGCTTAGGCGTGTTTCAAGTGAAGCTCCCGCATTGATGCAGCGGCGACCCTGGCGCGGGAGTTCGAGGATGGTGATACGGAGTCGGCCGACATTGAAGGATCCGCGCTACCAGTATGTCACGATCACTCAAGGTTGACGGTTACCAATGCCGACGACGACCGAACGCGACGACCACGACGACGATTGGCGGCGCGCGCAAGGGGATGGCTCGAGGGGGGGGGGAGGAGGGGCGGCCTTCTGAGGAGGCGTAGGGTTGCTCAGAAGGAAGGGCCCTTCGCAGAAGGGACCTGGGGGCTACTAAGGAGGCGGAGGTCTCGGACCTCGTCGGCATCCTCTCGGAACTCGCTTGAGTTTGTTTTACATGTTTTTTCTGCTAGGGGAGTTCTGCTTCGACGGATTCTTCAGCGGAGTACAATATAGTCAACCCGCATAATGAGGATTAGCGAATTTCAAGATTACCCTCGTATCCTTCCCTTTCGGCCCATCCTTCGCCGCTTTCGCTGGCCGCGCCCCGCTCGCAAAGTGTCGGCATGGTCTTCCAAGGGCCTTGCATGCTTATCGCGCGTCCTGGTTATACAGTTTGACTGTACAGTACAGAAGCCGGGAGGGATTCTGAAAAGGCCCCTTCCGCCGAAGAGGCCGCCCCGCCTTCTTAGGAAGCCCCTCACCCCTTGCGCCCCCCCCCCTTGGGCTTGCCGCCAAGACGAGGCGGCGACGACGACGACGGCAGCGAAGACGACGAACACGGCAACCCCCCAATGTCATGATTGTTTCACGACGTCCTCACCTCGTCTGACTGACCCTCACCATCGCGCTCAGTGCACGTAGCTTGTCTTCCTTGGCCTTGCTGCGGGCCCGTGCGCGCCGAGGGGCGCTCCGGCGCCTGCTTGGCCGGATGGAGCCGTCGGCAGAGGTTGGTCGGGCCTCTGACTCCCGACGATCGTTCTCTCCGTACGGGACTCGACAGCCACTTCCCCCCGTGGAGGGTGGGACGCTCGGGGAAAAGATTGTGTCACGTCGTCCACACCCAGGGGTCTGGACCCAACCCCCGGGGCCGGCTTTTCGTCCTGAGTCGGTGTTTGATGGCCCCGATGCCCCGTAAGGGCCCCCAGAGGTCGCGAATCGCCAAAAAGCCTCGCGTCGTGATTCCTTTCGCGATTCGACGACGACGACGACGACGAGGCAGAGGCATAAGTAAGGTGGACGCGGACGAGCTCTCGGCCCTCGGGCTGGATCCTGGCGGCGAGTGGCACGCCGGCCTGGGCGACGACGCCAAGGCCCTCCCACCCGGCCGCCCCGCCTTTTCTGGAGCGGCGCCCGCCTACCGCGGCGCGCGTCGACGACGTCGAAGCTGACTACGTCGACGCCGACGACGACGACGACGACGACGACGACGACGACGACGTCGACGACGACGACAACCACCACGACGACGACCACCACGGCGGCGACGACGACGACGACGGCGGCGCGAAAACGGAGAATTCGGCGTCGACGTCGACGACCATGGCGACGGCGTCGTCATTGGGCTCTCCGCGCGACAGCCCGGGGCGGAGAGGTCTCCGAGAGACGGCTGGCGGGGCGCAAGGATCGGGGGATCGAGGGTCGAGGTTCTGGCGCTCGGGGGGCGCCTCCTGGGGCGCCCTCGTGGCCCCGGCCAGATCCGCCTCGAAGCTCTGGCCAGAACGCACCCCAGGATATGCTTGAGTCTGCTTGAGTCGGGCATGTCCCTCTACAGGAGGAATATTCCAAAATAGTCAAAAATAGTAGTCCGGGGACGATTGATTAATAGGTTTCCCATATTTTGGCGTATTGTTTGACTATTTCTGATGTTTCGTCCAAAATCCGCCTGTAGGCGGACGTCCCCGACCTAAGGATATGCCGATGGGGGATGTGTTCTTGCACGCGGTGTGTTCTAGGAGGCCCGTTGCACCCCGGCAGCCCCATGATCACGTTTTTGCAACGAGCACAGCACATGCGGCATAGCCGAGTTCGGGCAATTCCCCCCCCCTGCTTGGAATTCCCCCCCACACCCACACACACACACACACACACACACTTGTCGAAGGAAAGGGACGAAGGTGGGCAAGGCAGAGGAATGAGGAAGAAGACACAGGACGAAGAAGGAAGGGCGGACACCCTCTGTCCCTCCTCCCTCCCACTCCCACTCGCCACGAGTTTCTTTACGCATAGACTTGTTTGCACTGGCCTCCCCAGCTTGCGCGGTCCTGCGCCTGAAACATCGTTGCGACAGGTCCTCTCACGGGGTACCCTGAGGTTCTGCGGCGCGACAGACTTCGGGTTTGGGGGCTCACGTAACAGGTGCGGGTTTCGCTCTTTTTTGTCCCGGCATCCACCTCTCCGTTCGGGCCTCTCTTCCTCTCCACTTGTTGTCCAATCCGTGGCTGTGCCTCCTGCGCGGCGCATCGCGAGGCCAAGATCGTCGCCTTCGCGCGGTCCAAGGTGTCCTATGCTGGAAGGGTGCCGAAACGTGCGAGGTTGGCACGGCTGAGGAGGGGTGGCAGAGGAGCCCGTCCGCGTCCTCCAGAAGTTGCTGTTTAATTCCGAAACATCAGCATCCTCCTCTTCATCCTCGTCCTCCTCCTCCTCCTCCTCCTCCTCCTCCTCCTCCTCCCATGCATCCTCCTCATCCCCATTATCATGCTTTTACTCCTAGGCGTCCCGTTCATCCTCCTTCTCCCATGCATCCTCCTCATCCCCATTATCATGCTTCTACTCCTAGGCGTCCCGTTTCTCCTCCGTCTCCACCTCTATTGGTCCCTCCCGCCATGGCCCAACATTTCCTGGCAGCCAGCCTCACCGCTGTCAAGCTCCATGGCCCAGCATCTCTGTCCTATCCTCGATTCGTGGTCACAATAGCTGGGCAGCGCGATTGCCGCGTGAAGGCACCAGACTAAATCTGAGCCCAGTTGGCACGGCGCCTGAGGGCGGGGAGGACCAGGATACACAGATAGGACGAGGAGGAGGACGACGAGGAGAGAACCCCTTCGTTTTGCACCTGGCCTAGAAACAGGCACCGCACCGTTTCCGCTTGCGCTGACCGCTTGACGTCTCCGTCTCGGCTGCGGCTGCCAGTTCTTCTTCGACGAGCGGGGCGGCAGGGCCTGACGAGCGGCCTGCTCGCAGACGCTCGGCAAGCCCTGCCGAAGGGGCGCCCCTGCGCCCCTTGCGCGCAGACATCTGCGGTTCCCCCGTGAGGCCCCCTCGTCCCCGAGATCCGACGCGATGGAAAATTCATCATCATCCATGCGCCCCCCATCAATGTCGGTACACCCATCACATGTTTCGTGGCCCCATAGGGAGCTCCACCGAAGGCCCCAGCGGGTGGGATCGCATAACACCGCCGCCCCATTTCGGCACACCACTCACATGTTTCGTGGCCCCCAAGGGAGCCCCACAGAAGGCCCCCGTGGGAGCGTTCGCATGGCACCGCCGCCCCACTTCGGCACACCTCTCACAAATTTCGTGGCCCCACAGGGAGCTTCACCGAAGGCCCCAGTGGGAGCGTTCGGAAGGCACTGCCGCCCCATTTCGGCACACCCCCTGCACGCTTCGTGGCCACATGGGGAGCTCCGCCGAGGGCCCCATGGGAAGGGTTTGCATGACACCGCCATCAGATGTCAGCACACCCTTCCGTGGCCCGATAGGGAGCCCCACATACGGCCTCAGTGGAAGGGTTTGCATGGCACCGCCGCCCTGTGTCGGCACACCCCTCACACGCTTCGCGGCCCCATCGGGAGCTCCACCTGAGGCCCCAGTGGGAGGGTTCGCATGGCACCGCCACCCTATTTCGGCACACCCCTCACACGCTTCGCGGCACCACAGGGAGCTCTTTTTCAGGCCCCAGTGGGAAAGTTGGCATGACACCGCCGCCCCATTTCGGCACACCACTCATACGCTTCGTGGCCCCATAGGGAGCCCCACCTTAAGACCTGTGACGGTTCGCATGGCACCGCCGCCCCATTACGGCACACCCCTCACTCGCATGGCGGCCCCGCCCCGTGTCGCCACACCCTTCACACCCTTCGTGACCCTTTGGGGAGATCCACAGAAGGCGATGCTCACAACGACGGCAATCACAACTGCACATGGTTGGACCTTTTCTGCGCCGGGCAGAGCGCAGCCTGGAGTTCCCGCGACGCCCGCTGGTCGCCCCGAGAGGGCCCCGGCGATGCGCGCAAGTCGCCCGCTGCGCGAGGCCAAACAGTCAGACCGTCGAGAGATGGCGAGGCTCGGGCGGGTTGCTCATCAGGTCAAGCCTCGCGGATAAACTCGGTGAAGCCCAGCTTCCTGGCGAGGGCCGTCGCCTCCCTTCTGCACCGCTTCGTGCGCGCAGCAAGCTGCGCCAGCTGCTTCCGCAAGCTCTCCGGCGGCCCTGCCAGGAAGAACTCGATGCGCGGCGCCCGCATGAACAGGAGGTCCTCGGGAGCAGCGCGTAGATATCCAGCCACCAGTCGTCGTCCTCCTTCTTGCCGTTCCCGACCTCGTGGCGGCCGCAGTCTCGGGCGGCGCCGCCATGCGAGCTGCGCCGCTGGGACCTTAGTTGGGTTTCCCTATAGGGCCACGAAACGTTTGAGGGGTGTGCCAAAATGGGGCGGCGGCGCCATGCGAGCTGCGCCACCAACGAGGCCACGAAGCGTGTGAGCGGTGTGCCAAATTGGGGCGGCGCCGCCATGCGAGTTGCGCCGCTGGGACGGCAGTTCGAGCTCCCTGTGGGGCCACGAAACGTTTGAGGGGTGTGCCAAAATGGGGCGGCGGCGCCATGCGAGTTGCGCCGCTGGGGCGTCAGTTCGAGTTCCCCTGTGGGGCCACGAAACGTTTGAAGGGTGTGCCAAAATGGGGCGGCGCTGCCATGCGAGGTGCGCCGCTGGGACGTTAGTTCGAGCTCCCTGTGGGGCCACGAAACGTCTGAAGGGTGTGCCAAAATGGGGCGGCGCCGCCATGCGAGGTGCGCCGCTGGGACGTTAGTTCGAGCTCCCTGTGGGGCCACGAAACGTTTGAGGGGTGTGCCCAAATGGGGCGGCGGCGCCATGCGAGCTGCGCCGCTGGCACTGGGACCTGAGTTGGAGCTCCCTATAGGGCCACGAAGCGTGTGAGGGGTGTGCCAAAATGGGTCGGCGCCGCCATGCGAGCTGCGCCACCAAGGAAGCCACGAAACGTGTGAGAGGTGTGCCAGAATGGGGCGGCGCCGCCATGCGAGCTGCGCTAGTTGGACCTTAGTTGCAACCCCATATGGGGCCACGAAACGTTTGAGGGGTGTGCCAAAATGGGGCGGCGCCGCCATGCGAGTTGCGCTAGCTGGACCTTAGTTGCAGCCCCATATGGGACCACGAAACTTTTGAGGGGTGTGCCACAATGGGGCGGCGGCGCCATGCGAGCTGCGCCACTGGGTCTTTATTGGAGAGGCCTGACGGCCGGTGCCGCCGACCCTGATCGAAACGGCTAGGAGTGGGGGGAGGAAGCGGAGGATGAGGAGGAGGAGGAGGAGAAGGAGGAGGAGGAGAAGGAGGAGGAGGATGAGTAGGAGGAGGAGGAGGAGGTGGAGGAAGAGGAGGAGGAGGAGGAGGAGGAGGAAGTGCATCCTTTGTGTGCCCGCTCGAAAAAAGTGCGCCCCGGGAGTGTGATATTCTGACTTGGGACGTGCTCCCGGAAGAGGAAAAAGTGCATCTCGGGCGTGCCCGTTCGAGGAAAATGCGCCCCAGGGGGGTGGTCTTTTGACTCGGGGCCCGCTCCCGGGACGCCTCAGCGGGAGGAGGAGAAGGAGGAGGAGGAGGAGGAGGAGAAGGAGGAGGAGGAGGAGCAGGAGGACAAGCTAGGTGCGCTCGCATCATATCTGACGTCCTACCCCTCCCTCCCATCCCTTACCATGGCGCTGATTTTCTCTATCCGCGGACGCGTGTCGTAGCGGACCTGTGGCTCCGCGCGCGCGTGCGTAGTGGGTGGTGGTGCACGTGCGTGCGTGCGTGCGTGCGTGTGTGCGTGGTTGTGGTGGTGCTGGTGCTGGTGCTGGTGCTGGTGCTGTGTGTGCTGTGCTCGTGCTCGTGCTCGTGCTGGTGGTGCTGGTGCTGGTGGTGGTTGTGATGGTGGTGGTGGTGGTGGTGGTGGTGGTGGTGGTGGTGGTGGTGGTGGTGCGGCGCGGTGGTGGCGGGCGGATGGGCGCGCGAGAAAGAGGCCCGCGCTGGGGCGAGAACGCCATCCTGAACGACGGAGGCCAAACACCGATCCGAAAATGAGGCCCACGCTGCAGCTGGAGCACGATTCGGAACGATTCGGGAGCAGAAATGAGGCCGGCGCCTCAGCGAGAGCATCATTTTGAAAGAAAGGAAAAATTATGATAACGGAGTTCCCCACAGAAAGATATGGACGGTTTCGTGGAGCCCATGGGGTACGACAACATCAACACGAAAGAGAAGCTCATCGAAGGAGTAAGTACGCACGAAAGGGCAGACGAAAGAAAGGAGGAGGGAGGACAGGTGCTCAGGAAACGAAACATTGTAAATAGTAAATCGTATGGGTTCCGATACCATGTAAATAGTATGGGGTTTTGGTAACCCACCTCGCTCAGGCGGGGCCTCCCTGGAGGGGTGGGAAGGGCACGAAACCTTGTAAATAGTATGGGGTTTCCGATACCCTCCTCGCTCAGGCGGGGCCTCCCTGGAGGGGTGGGAGGGGCACGAAACCATGTAAATAGTATTGGTTTCCGATACCCTCCTCGCTCAGACGGGGCCTCCCTGGAGGAGTGGGAAGGGCACGAAACCATGTAAATGGTATGGGTTTCCGGTACCCTCCTCGTTCAGGCGGGCCCTCCCTGGAGGAGTGGGAAGGGCACGAAACCATGTAAATAGTATGGGTTTCCGATACCCTCCTCGCTCAGGCGGGGCTGGAGAGGTGGGAAGGGCACGATACCCTCAAGCGGGGCCTCCCTGGAGAGGTGGGAGGGGCACGAAACCATGTAAATAGTATGGTTTTCGGATACCCTCCTCGCTCAGGCGGGGCCTCCCTGGAGGTGTGGGAGGGGCACGAAACCATGTACTCCCTGGATGGGAGGGGCACGAAACCATGTAAATAGTATGGTTTTCGGATACCCTCCTCGCTCAGGCGGGGCCTCCCTGGAGGGTGGGAGGGGCACGAAACCATGTAAATAGTATGGTTTTCCGATACCCTCCTCGCTCAGGCGGGGCCTCCCTGGAGGGGTGGGAGGGGCACGAAACCATGTAAATAGTATGGTTTCCGATACCCTCCTCGCTCAGGCGGGGCCTCCCTGGAGGGGTGGGAGGGGCACGAAACCATGTAAATAGTATGGTTTTCCGATACCCTCCTCGCTCAGGCGGGGCCTCCCTGGAGGGGTGGGAGGGGCACGAAACCATGTAAATAGTATGGTATTCCGATACCCTCCTCGCTCAGGCGGGGCCTCCCTGGAGGGGTGGGAGGGGCACGAAACCATGTAAATAGTATGGTATTCCGATACCCTCCTCGCTCAGGCGGGGCCTCCCTGGAGGGGTGGGAGGGGCACGAAACCATGTAAATAGTATGGTTTCCGATACCCTCCTCGCTCAGGCGGGGCCTCCCTGGAGGGGTGGGAGGGGCACGAAACCATGTAAATAGTATGGTATTCCGATACCCTCCTCGCTCAGGCGGGGCCTCCCTGGAGGGGTGGGAGGGGCACGAAACCATGTAAATAGTATGGTATTCCGATACCCTCCTCGCTCAGGCGGGGCCTCCCTGGAGGGGTGGGAGGGGCACGAAACCATGTAAATAGTATGGTATTCCGATACCCTCCTCGCTCAGGCGGGGCCTCCCTGGAGGGGTGGGAGGGGCACGAAACCATGTAAATAGTATGGTATTCCGATACCCTCCTCGCTCAGGCGGGGCCTCCCTGGAGGGGTGGGAGGGGCACGAAACCATGTAAATAGTATGGTTTTCCGATACCCTCCTCGCTCAGGCGGGGCCTCCCTGGAGGGGTGGGAGGGGCACGAAACCATGTAAATAGTATGGTATACCCTCCTCGCTCAGTCCCTGGAGGGGTGGGAGGGGCACGAAACCATGTAAATAGTATGGTTTTCCGATACCCTCCTCGCTCAGGCGGGGCCTCCCTGGAGGGGTGGGAGGGGCACGAAACCATGTAAGTAGTATGGTTTTCGGTATGGAGTGGTATGGAATGGTATGGTAGGTATGGTATGGTACGGTATGGTATGATATGGTATGGTATGGTACTGGAGGTATGGTATGGTATGGTACGGTGTGGCATTGGTGTGATATGGTATGGTATGCTATGGTACGCCATGGTATGGTATGGTACGGTATGGTACGTATGGTGTGGTATGGTATGGTATGGTATGGTATGGTATGGTGGTATGGTAAAACTATGGTATGGTATGGTGTGTGTGGTAGGAATAATATTGTGCTGTATGGAAGATGGAGCGGGAGGTGGGTGGGAAGGAGAGGGTGTTCTGGGAAAACAAGAACCCCACTCAGGATGTGGGGAAATAATTCAAAAACAAAAAAAAAAAAAACGCAGGCGAAAACCCGTTTCCTGGGAATCTTGTGTGTAAAAATCAATACGCGGGGGGCGCTCGGCCCGAAAATGACGCCGGCACCTCAGCGAGAGTCGTTTCCTGGGATTTCCCGGGAATCCTGTGTGGAAAAAAAACAGTACGCGGAGGGTGCGCGGCCATCACCCGGACGCCATCAGGGGAAGAGGGAGAGTATTTTCATATTGAGTAATTGTGAAGGAGGAGAGGAGGAGGAGGAGGAGGAGGAGGAGGAGGAGGAGGAGGAGGAGGAAAAGGAAAAGGAGGAGGAGGAGGAGGAGGAGGAGGACCAGGAGGAGGAGGAAGTGCATCCCGTGCGTGCCCGCTGGAGGAAAGTGCGCCCCGGCGGGCGTCGTATCTGCCCCGCCCCCTCCCCCCCCTCCCCTCCTGCGGGGAAGGGATCAAAGGGAAGGGGCTTCCCTTCGACTCCGCTACGACGTCGTTTCATTTCGCTTTGGATAGCGCGCTTGAGGAGGAGAGCCCTGGGAGGGGGAGAACGGAGACGATGGAGACGACGAGTCGAACGGAGAAGCCCTTCACACACGCCGACAGGGTCGGCGGAGCTCGAGCTCCATATGGGGCCACGAAACGTGTGAGCGGTGTGCCGACATGGGTGGGTGGGACGGTGATGATGATGACGATGATGATGAGGAGGATGTGGATGAGGATGGTGTTGCAGATGATGATGTTGATGGATGTGGGCGATGGTGATAGTAGTGACGATGATGTTTATGATGGGGAGAGGGAGGGGGGCGCCGGGAGGAGGAAGGAACACGGGGCGCTGTCTTTTCAAAACGAGGACCCAACACCACAGGATGGTTGGGAAGAAACTGATCTCGGCCTTGCCCCCCCGATCCTCGATCTTGATCTCCCCGATCCTCAATCTTGCCCCCCCCTTTGGGTCCTCGATCTTGTCGCCCCCACCCCGTCTTCGATCTTGCCCCTATCTTGCCCCAGTCCGGTCCTCGAGCTCGCCCCCCCCCCCCGCTCCCGATCTTCGATCTTGCCTTTCATCCAGCACCCCCGATCTGATTGATCTTGCCCCCCAGATCCTCCAGTCTCGAAGAAGCTCGATCCTCCGACGTCGCAGCTTTCTTCCTGACGCGGGCCCCCGGGGGAGTTCAGAACCTTTCGTCCCGAGTCATTCTCTGGCGGCCCCGAAACCTGCCGGGGCACGGCCCCGCCGAGGCCGAAAAAGCGCTGAGAGCGCGGCCGCCGCAGTTTTGCGACGCCAGGATCGGAGGGTCGAACCTCCTCCTCCTCCTCCTCCTCCTCCTCCTCCTCCTCCTCCTTCTCCTCCTCCTCCTCCTCCTCCTCCTCCTCCTCCTCCTCCTCCTCCTCCTCCTCCTCCTCCTCCTCCTCCTCCTCCTCCTCCTCCTCCTCCTCCCCCCGCCAGGGGGTTGCAAGAGGTGTCCCTGGCCCGAGGTGTCCCGGGCTTGTCGCGCTTGCTGGGCGGCTGCTGGGGCCCTCCGGGCCTCGCGAGTGGTGTTCTGGAGGCCGTGGGGGCCTCCCCTGAGCTCCTGGGGACACCTTGGGCCAGGGACGCTTCCAGGGCCCATGCCGATTCGATGGCTCTGGGCCGATGCCGAGTTTACCCAGCTCGATCCGATTGGATACCGACCTCCCGTTGATCCGATGCGGCCCGATGCTTGCACGACGTAGATGTGTATCCGGGCGCAGCCGACCCTCTCTGACCTCGACCCCGTGCCGATGTAGCCCGATGCGACGCACACTCCGATCCGATCCGATTTCCCGAGTCGGTGCTGAGCGCTCCTGCAATGCCAAAGCGCAGAACTTCGACGTCGGGAGTTGTTCAGAACGTGGGCCCCCAGAGGCCGGGATGAGGCCGCCCTCCAAGGGATCCCCGCGGAGCTCCGAAAGTGTACGGCTACGCCATTGTGGCTTCTTCGATGGACGCTTCGGGACAGTGGTCGCTCCCCTTCCTCAACATCGGAGCCCCGACCTGTCCCGGAGGGCGCCCTCATCCCAAGACTCCCTCCCCTGGGGGCTGGCGTTCTCCGTCCCGAGTCGTTATCTGGCGGCCCCCTGGGCCCAGCGAGGGCCCGCGGAGGCTCGGCATCGCTCGGGCGTGTGCGTTTTCTTTCCTCGGCGAGGACCGTCGCAGAGCATCCCAGATCCCGCGCGAACAAGACGCGCACGAAGCCGAGCAAAAAACAACAAGCACGGGAAACGGACGTCCGAGCGACGGCGAGGAGGCCAAAGCCCGGAGGGGGGGATGGGGGGGGGGGGGGGGGAGGGGGAGGGGGGCGGGGGGCAGGGGAGGGAGGGGTGAGGGGGTGGGTGAGGGGAAGGGGCGGGGGTCTCGCTCCGCCCGGGGGGTCCGGGGGGGGTGCGGCGCCTCGCCGCGCGCCTGGGCGCACGCGCGCGGGCGAGAGCCTCGCGCGGGGAAGCCGCGTCGCACCGGCAGGGGCCTCGCTCCGCGAGGAGCGGCGCCTCGGGGCGCCGGAGGGCCGAGGCCGCCGCGGAGCGCACAGAGTGTCGGGGAGGGCCGCGAGAGCTCCCCAAGGCGTGTTCGGGGCGCCTCTGGGCAGCGCCCGTTCCTCGGCAGCGGCGCGCCCCGTGAGCGCGTGCGGATGCCAGCGAAGATGGCGGAAGAACCGGGCGGTTGGCAGCCGGGGCGGGGAGAGACGAGGACGGGCGGGGGACAAGACGACGGGAGCAGGCGTCAGAGGCGGAGAGCCCTCCAAGCCGCGGGGGCCACCATCCGTCGGGCGCGGAGCGCCCCTTGGAGGGAGGGATGCCGCAGCAAGGGTGGCGTTCCCCCAGGGTGCCGAAGTCAGAGCAGAAGCCGCCCGAGCCGCGGAGGCCACACGCACACACGACTGGGGCCCACACGCGCACGCACGCTCGCGCACACCCCGACCCGAGCACGCCCCACTGCTCGGCGCCGAGGCCGGCGTGGCCGCCTCGCCCGGCGGCGCGGCGCTGAACACCGCCCGCGTCGCAGGCGGGCCCCGCCGCCCGACGCCTCCGACCTCGGCCTGCATCGCGCCCGCAAAGGGTCCTTAATCCCCCTCCTCGATCCTCCTCCTCCTCCTCCTCCTCCTCCTCCTCCTCCTCCTCCCTCCTCCTCCTCCTCCTCGATCCTCCTCCTCCTCCTCCTCCTCCTCCTCCTGCTCGATCCTCCTCCTCCTCCTCCTCCTCCTCCACCTCCTCCTGGATCCCTCTCCTCATCCTTCTCCTCCTCCTCCTACTCCTCCTGGATCCCCCGCCATCGCCTGCTCCCGAGGTGACAATCGCTCACGGTCTAGTGTGAAGGCCTTACGGACGTTGTTGCCGACCCAGAAGGACGACGACCACGACCACGATGACGACGACGACGATGACGACGACGACGACGACGACGACGACGACGACGACGACCACAACGGCAGCGACAGTGACGAGCTGATGACCCTGCCACTCTCTCGGGACATGGGGCGAGCGGTGGGGGGAGGAAGAGGAGGAGGAGGAGGAGGAGGAGGAGGAGACGGAGACGGAGACGGAGACGGAGGAGGAGGAGGAGGAGGAGGAGGAGGAGCAGCAGCAGCAGCGAATGCTCCAGGAGTCGCCCGGCTCACTAGTCTGATCACCCCGCGCCAAGGCCGACCAGTCCAGGGGAGGGGAGTGGCCTTCCGAGTCCGACGTTCGACGAATGTCTAACGTCCAAGGCCGACCACCAAGTCCTACGTTCGACGAACCTTCATGCCTTCAGCTCGTCAGCTCGTCAGGAAGGCGGAGGAAAAGGAAGAGGGGGAGGAGGAGGAGCAGGAGGAGGAGTCTTGGGCCTTAATTGAAGATCCGACTTGGCGCCGAGGACTGGCCCTAGCTCTTCTGAGGGCCAAGATAGCATGGCGTGCAAACTCAGATAGGTCCTCGCACAAGCCCTTCCCCATGCTTCGCCTCCTATCTCGCGGATCCCACTGTGGCCACCCCAGCCCCCCACAAATCGTGGAAGCGCGCGGGGGCCTCTAGCGGCAGCGATCCTCTCCCTCCGGCGGATCGGGGGGGAGACGCACTTGTCTACAAGGGCCCGGAGGGGGAGCTGCGGAGCTGTAGCCCCGCACTGCCTTCTCGGAACAGCCGCTGCTGTCTCAACTGACCCTGCTCCCGCGGCAGCCGCGTGGGCGCAGAGGCACCGGCCATCCCACCGCGAGCGCCGCCCGCACCCTGCCTCGCACCGCCGCCCTGGTGCCTGGCAGGCCCCGCACCGCTCCGCCTCGGCTCAGGTCGGGGCCGAGCCGCGAGCTCGCCGTCGAAGCTGGACGGGGGCCCGCGCGCAGGATGTGATGCCACTGTTAAGTCGGGCCTGTCCCTCTGCAGGAGGAACATTCAAAAATAGTAAAAAAATAGTCTGGGGACACTTGCTTTAGCATTTTTTGACTATTTGGGGGTATTTTTGGATTATTTGTTTTTTCGTCCAAAATCCCCATGTAGGGGGAAACACCCGACTTAATGCCACTGCGAGATAACAAAAATTGGCGAACCCGCGTTGGCCCAGAGGGGCTCGTCGCTCTGCGGCTCGTCGCTCTGCTGCTCTCTGCGGTGCGCGGCGCCGTTGTCGATTTTGAAGTCGACGCGGGCGCCGTGCCCGACGACGACAGCAACGCGACGGTGTGGAAGAATGGGGCTGCCATGAACGCCACCCTGGCGGCCCTCAGACCAGGCGACACGCTCCTGCTCCCAAACAAGACGTTCTACCTCATGGGCGGCATTCAGGCCCGCGGCCTCGACTCCGTCACCCTGCGGTTTGACGGCACCGTGGTCTTCTCGGACGACATCGACGGTTGGCCCCGGTCTGGGAGCGGCATTGGTGCTCCGGCTCTCATGTGCATGTATTTTGCAGACGTGAAAAACCTCACGATCTGGAGGGGCAAGAACATATCCGCATTCGTACCCCCCCCCCCCTCTTCCCCCTTCACGGGAGCAGGATGGCGGTGAGGATGGGGAGGCGTATGGGGACACTCGGGGCGTAGACATTCTGGAACGCTTCTGGTTCGAACGGGGCTCGGTGTTCCTTGTTGCCTTCAGGGCCCAGGCAGAAGATTCTACACTGTGTCGAATGCTTTGACTGCTCATGCACCCCCTCCCCTGCTTCTGCTCAGTGCTGGTTCAGGGTGGAGGTGGAAGGGAGGGGGAGGGGGAGGGGAGGGGAGCGGGAGAAAGGAGGCTGAGGAGGGTGAGGGGAAGGAGGACGACGGGGATTAGTGTGGATGTGTTGCTGCCCCTCCGCGATCACCTCCAGCCACATTGGACTGATCAACGGCAGGGGCGAGAAGTGGTGGGGCATCCCCGGCATAGGCTATCTCATGGGGGAGCGAAAGTCTGCATCTGCCCCGCCCCTGCTCGGAAGGGAGGATTATGATAATGATGGCGATGGTGATGCTGATGGTGATGGGGATGGTGATGATGGTGATGAGTATGATGATGATGACGGGATGGTGATGATGATGAGGAGGGTGATGATGTTGATGATGACGCTGATGAAAATGGGTGGTGATGTTGACGATGAGGATGCTTGTGATTATGACAACGATGGTGATGGTGAGGATGATGATGATCATGATGATGATGGTGATGATGATGATGATGATGATGATGATGATGATGATGATGATGGTGGTGGTGATGATGGGGTGATGATGATAGTGCTGATGCTGGTGCTAATGATGCCAATGATGATGACGCTGATGAAGTCGATGTAGATGGTGATGCTGATGGTGCTGATGATGATGAGGAGGAGGACCACGATGGAGATGACAAGCATGATGTTAATGTTGCTGCTGATAATGATTACGGGGATGATGATGATGATGATGATGATGATGATGATGATGATGATGATGATGATGATGGTGATGGTGATGGTGATGGTGATGGTGATGGTGATGGTGATGGTGATGGTGATGATGATGGTCAAGGTGGTGGTTGTGGTGATGATGATGCTGCTGATGATGATGGTGATGATGATGATGATGCTGATGCTGATGATGATGACGACGATGATGACGACGACGACGACGACGACGACGACGACGACGACGACGACGACTGCAACGAGGAGAAGGATGGAGAGGAAGAGAGTTGGAAGGAGAAAAGGAGGAAAAATCCGACGGCGCCAGGTCGCCTCGCTTCAAGGTGGGCAGGGAAGGAGGGGAGAGGCGGGGAGAGGGGCAGGTGCAAAGGAAAGGAGCCGCCAGAGGGGGAGGGGAGGCGAAGGGGCAGCAGGAGGGGGCCGAGAGAAGAGGAGTGGGCTAGAGGAGAGGCGGGGACGGAGAAGGGAAGGAGTAATGAAGGGGGGGGGAATCTAGGGGAAGCGAGGCCAGGAGAGGGAACAGCTGGGCAAGGGCGGCAGAGGAGGGGAGCTCCGGGGCGGGTGCACCACTTGTGCTCCCCATCCCGTGCGCACCGAGAACCGCCCACGTCTGCTGGAGATACACGGGGGCACGGACATCTTGGTCGAGAACGTCTTCCTGAAGAACAGCCCTTACTGGTCCTTCTGGGCCCACGGCGTCGACGGCCTCGAAATCCGCAACTCGCACGTCGACGCGCGACGGGACAGGTACGATGGCCACCACATCTCGAGGATGAGAAAAAACACAAGCATACATTGACGGAGGTCCGCGCGGATTTCTCGGATCGGTGCTGGACCCTCCTCCCTGGCGAGCAGAGAGCCCCAGGGGCGGCGCCAGAAGCCCGCCAGGGGGTCCAGCGCAGATCCCAGAAACCCGCGTGGACCTCCGAAAGTGTATGTTTATGTAGATGCTTGTTCCTCGGACATCTTGGACCTGTCGGCCTTCAACACAGACGGCTTCGACGTGGCTGGGAGAAATATCTGACGTGCCACCGGCCGCTGCCGCCGGCCTCTGTGCCGCCAGGAGTGTCGAAAAGCTTGGGCCCGTGGGGACGTCCTTCGGGCTCTGCGGGGCTACGTTCGGGCTGCCTGAATCGAGGAAGAAAACCTGGGTAAAGATATGCTTTCGGAGGTCCGAGCAGATTTCTTAGATGTGCGCCAGCCCCCCCCGCACACACAGAGCCTTTGGCGCCGCCGCTGGCGCGCTCCGAGCGCCCGGGAGGGAGGTCCAGCGCCGATCCGAGAAATCCGCGCGGATTTCCGATAGGTTTTCCCAATCATCTTGTGGTGTTGGGTCCTCGTTTTGAGGAGACGGTCCCCGCGCTCATCCTTCCTTCCTCCTCCCTCTCCTCCCTCCCCTTCCTCCTCCGATCCCTGCCTCTGCCCTCCGAACCAGTCAAACATTTTGGCACACCCCTCACACGCTTCGGGGCCCCATAGGGAGCTCCACCGAAGGTCCACATGCCAGCTTTCGCATGCGCCCGCCGCTCTCATTTCGGCACACCCCTCACACGGCTCGTGGCCCCACAGGGAGCTCCACCCAAGGCTGTAGTGGCTACGTTCGCATGCGCCCGCCACACCCGTTTTTGCACACCCTTCACACGTTTCGTGGCCCCGTAGGGCCGTAGGGAGCTCCACCGAAGGCCCCGGTGGTTGCGTTCGCATGCGCCCGCCGCACCCATTTCGGCACATCAGACGCTTCGTGGCCCCAGAGGGAGCTCCTCTGAAGGTCCCAGTGGCGACGTTCGCATGTGTCCGCCGCGCCCTTGTCGGCACATCACACGTTTCGTGGCCCCGTTGGGAGCTCCACTGAAGGCCCCAGTGGCTACGTTCGCATGCGCCCGCCGCACCCACTTCGGCACACCTCTCACACGTTTCGTGGCCCCACAAGGAGCTCCCCCGAAGGCCCCAGTGGCTACGTTCTCATGCGTCCGCCGCACCCTTTTCGGCACACCTCTCACACGTTTCGTGGTCCGTAGGGGCTCCACTGAAGGCTGTAGTGGCTGCGTTCACATACGCCCCCCGCACACATTTCGCCACATCAATCACACGTTCCGTGGCCCCATAAGGAGCTCCACCGAAGTCCCCAGTTGCTGCGTTCGTATGCACCCGCCGCACCCATTCCGGCACACCCCTCGCACGTCTTGTGGCCCCAAAGTGAGCTCCACCGAAGGCCCCAGTGGCTGCGTTCGCACGCGCCCGCCGCGCCCATCTTGGCACACCCCTCACATGCTTCCTGGCCCAAGATGGGGCTCACAACTGCATGTGGTTGGGTCCTTCGTCAGGCTAATGGAGCCGCCTGGGATTCGTCAGTTTGAATTGCGATAGCCATGTGCACCTCGATGACTTCGGGGTGCTCCCGTGGGGCCTCCTGGAGCTTGCTCGAGCCCTCCCTGAGTCGTCTTGAAGGTCGAAGGACGAGGCGGAGGCAGGAGGCGGATGAGGAGGAGGTGTAGCAGGAGGAGGAGCAGGAGGAGGAGGAGGAGGAGGAGGTGGGGGACGGGGAGAAGCGAGGAGCAGGAGGAGGAGGAGGAGGAGGAGGTGGAGGGGGAGAAGCGAGGAGGCCGAGGAAGGAGGAGGAGGAGGAGGAGGAGGAGGAGAAGGAGGGATGAGGAGGAGGGGGTCCAGAAGCTTCTCTGAAGCCGCCCCCGCCGGGGAAAGCGCAGCTCATGCTCGTGTCGTGCGCGACGTGCGTGGGAAAGTTGGGGGACCAGGCTTCTTCCTCCCCCCTGCCGCTCTTTCGGCGGACGCATGGGTGGTCGTGGTTTGGTCGTGGGGTGTCATGTTGTCATGATCTCGCGGTGCGTTGATGTCGTGGTGCCTTGCTGTCCAGGGGCTGTGGTGTCGTCCTGCTATGGTGTCACGGCGCCGTTGTGCCATTGTGTCGTGGTGCCGTCACGTCGCGGTGTCCTGGCTGTATCCCGATGAATTGTACGTAGCGTTCCAAGGTCGCTAGAAGAAGAACCCTCGGTAACAACATGCGTTGTATTATATAAATCGACTAATTCAACAACCTATCATAATTACTCGACGCGGAGATCCCCATATGTGCATATCATTGTCTGTAACGTCCCGTTGCGTGCGTCTGGCTGTGAGCGTCTCGGTGTGAGAGCGAATCCGTGTGGGCGATGGGCGGGCCGACACCGACGGCGACGGCGACGACGACGACAACAACTCACGGACAGGCGGTGAGGGAGCCCTTATAAATTTCTCCCTCTTCCAGAGCAGGCCTGGATACCTCAGAGATCCTGAAGACCTCAAAGACCTTTTCTGCTCGAGGTCCCACTGGCGAAGGTGACTGCAGACAAGCAAGTGCAGGCTGTAACAAAAGCGGCCGTCCGCACTTGGCATCGGCCGAGCTGGGCGCGGGGCGGGGCGCGTGTCGGGGGAGCGCGTCAGTGTTCAGGGGGGGGGGCAAAATCAGCAAACCAGCTGAGACATCCCCACAATTTGGGCGCGAAGAACGGAGTGAGATACCCCCTGGCGGCTCCTCCTTAGGGTGCCCCAGTGCTACGCCTGCTTTATCGTGGTGAGCATTGGACGGCCGAGCGAGAGAAGTTCGGGGCGCCGAGACCAGCAAACCGCCTGAGACATCCCCGCAACCTGGGCGCGAAAAAGTGGAGTGAGATACCTCCTGGCGGTCTTCCCCTTGGGGTGCTCAAGTGCGACGTCTGCTATATCCCGGTGGGCAATGTACCACCAAGCGGGGAAAGTTCGGGGCGCGCCGAGACCAGCAAACCGCCTGAGACGTCCCCGCAACCTGGGCCCGACAAAGGGAGTGCGGTACCCCCTGGCGGCTCCTCCCTCGGCGTGCTCACATGCAACGCCGATTTTATTGCGGCGAGTATTGGACCACCAAACGAGATTAGCTCGGGGCGCCAAAACAAGCAAACTGTCTGAGACATCACCGCAACCTGGGCGCGACTAATGGAGTGAGATAACCCCTGGCAGCTCCCCCTTGGGGCGCCCAAGTGCTACGCCTGCTATATCGCGGTGGGCATTGGACCAGCAAACCGTCTGAGACAGTCCCGCAAGCCGTAGATTGAGTGAGTTTGAGTATGAGTGGGTGTGAGTGTAAGGGAGTCTGAGTGTGAGGGAGTCGGACTGTGAGTGAGTCTGCGTGGCAGTGAGTCTGTGTATGAGTAGGTCTGAGTATGAGTGAGTCTGAATGTGAGCGAGATTGAGTGTGAGTGAGCCTGAGCGCGAGTGAGTCTGAATATGATTGGGTCCGAGTGCGCAGTGAGTCTGTGCATGGGTGGGTATGAATACGAGTGAGTCTGAGTGTGAGTGAATCTGAGCGTGAGTGAGTCTGATCGTGAGTGATTCTGAGTATGAGTGAGTCGGAGTGTGAGTGGATCTAAGTCTGAATATGAGTGGGTGCGAGTGCACGAGGGACGCGAGTGTGAGGTGAGGCGGGGGCGTCCCCATCTGAGGAGATGGGGAATAAAAGTTCAATCATATAAGGGAAATCAAAAGGACAAGCAATGATGGCAATGATGACGCTCATATTGTTAAGCATCGAGCAGTGAGAAGCACGATCACAAAATTGATTATACTCCAGGCGCCGCGCCGTTGGACGACATTTGGAACTGATACGCAGCCCATCCCCTCATCCCAAAACCTCCTCATCGACTGTGGGTCGGCCTGCTAGGTGTACAGGCTTGTGTTGCCCCTCTTGGGCCCTTCGTGGTCCAGTGTTGCAGCTGTTTGGTCGTCTCGCGGCCCAGGGATTGAGGCCACATGGTATTGTGCGGGGGGCCGTGGCCTTGTGGCAGGGATCCAACGCTCCACGGAAGGCTCGTCAACACGAGGCGCGGGGGCTTGCCCCAGGGCATGTCCAGCGCCCCATCGGTACGGCGGTGGCGCCGGGGCCAGGTGGCAAAGGACACCCAGTGGGCATGCTTGAGAGATGCTAGTCGGTGCATTGGCGAGCTGCGGCCCTGACGTCAAACAAAATCCAGCGCGGGCCCAAATTCCGATCCGCTGCTGCAGTGGCCAGCACACAGCGCAATGCCCGCGGGACCAGGGACCTCGGCGTCGGCGGCCGCAGGCTGGGCGCGGGGGATGGCGACGGCCACTTGTGTTAGGTGTGCCAGCGGCGGCGGTCCAGGCGCTGTTCCGGGGCCACGCCTGGCGGCGGCACGCCTGGCGGCCGCCTGCGGGAGCCCTGAAGGGTCGTCTTGGGAGTTCTCTTCGGCCGTCTCGGAGCCTCCTTGGGCCGTCGCGTCCGTCTTCGAGGCCTCTTGGACCATCTTGGGAGCTCCGTGGGCCGCCTTGGGGGCCTTCTTGGGGGCCTCTTGGGCCCCCTTGGGGCCATCCTGGAGGCCTCCATCGGCCGCCTTGGGCCGATGGAGGCACGACGAACCCACCCGAACACCTGAGGGCCCTGCGGGGTCGCCTGCCTGCGTCCCCGGGGGGGCGGGGCCCTGGCGAGCGAGCCACGCGCGCTGGCCAGGCGGCTTCGCTCCCAGACCGGCGCGGCAGGCCTTCTCTGCCGCAGCCCGCGGCGCTGCGCGCGCGGCTCGCCTCGCGCAGGGCGACGAGGGAGGTCGGCGGCGAACTGCGAGCCCCTGCCCTCGCCGATCAACGATTCAGGCAACGCGATGGTCGGCGGAAGTGGGGCTCGGAACTCGTCGAACACGTGGCGAGGTCCGAGCCCTGCCCTTTCCCATCGATTCTGGAGAAACGATTGCTGGTGGGGGTAGGGTTCGGATGCCGCCACCCAGGTCAGGGACAGCCTTAGGGTTCCAGGGTGTAGGGCTCAAGGTTTTCGGGCGAAGCCGTCGGTTCTCGACGGACTTGCAGCTGCTGGATGCCTTCTGGCGGCTGCGCCTGGCCGAGAGCTTCCCAGCGTGCCCAGATCGTCCCGGACGGCCTCCGGAGATCCGAGTTCTGACCCGAAAGCCGCCACCTGCGCTTTGACCGTGTACTTCCAGACGGTATTGGTTTTGCGATCGATGGAGCGGGCAAGCGCGCGGCAGGGAATGCTCTTCATCTGTCCCGATCCCCCGCCACAGATGTGAGGTTGTGGCGGCACCGCCATGCACACCAAATTCGCGGCCGGGCACGGAAAGGCAAACACGTTCGCCTTGATCGCCCCTCGTCCCATTCCCGCGATCGATGCAGCGTCGGAAAAAGAGGGTATGACCCGAAACTTCCGGACGCGCCAGACCGATTCGTTGCTCAGCGGGCCGCGCTCTCTCTGTCCCTCCCGCCTTCTTCGGGGAGGGACAAACATCTCCGGCATGAGCCTACACGCTGGGCATGGACGTAAACCGAAGTGAGCGCACACACACTCTCTCGGAGCTCCGCGAGGACCTGTCGAATCGGCGCGCTGCCCCCCTCCCCCCCCCTGACAGCGCTTCCGGCGCCGCCCCCGGCGCGCTCCCTGGGGAGGGGGGTCCGGCGCCGAGCCAGGAGGCCCGCGCGGAGTTCCGAATGCGCTTGTGCTCATGCCCTTGGTATCGCTCGGACGTGTGCACTTTTTCTCGGCGGGGATTATGAAGGAGCATCCTGGATCATCCTGCGAGAAAGCCACGCACGAAACCCAAGAAACACAGGGAATGGACGTCCGAGCGACGGGGAGTGCCGTTTTTCGCCCCTCCTCCTCGCCTTGCTCCTTGCAACGCCACAGGGCCGCACAGTGCCATGATCCCTCGCCCCGTGAGTCACGGCGGGTCCTGACTTGTGAGGGCCGCAACCTCTCTACGTCGGGATCCTCGTTCCGAAGTGGGCGAGCCGTGGTAAAATGCATTGCCTCCTCCCTGTCAGGGCGAAGGCTCCTGTTGAAAGAGCATGGCTCCTCGCGAGTGGGGATCCGTAGTCTTTTACTCGTGGCTGTGCGACAGTTTGCCAGGGGGCGTGGTTTTGCGAGCAAGGACCCTGCGTAAGTAAGAGGGGGGAGGAGGACCCATGGCATCGTGCGAGGGATCGTGGCGTTGGAAGCGTGAATCTAGAACCTTCTACAGAAGATGGCGGCAACGCGAGCGAGGACCATGTTGATTCTACTACGGGTCACTGTCCTAACACAGTGGGCCCATACAGGTTCGTTGTTGATCGCGATTGCAGCGGCAAGTGTCCATGGTAGATTTCGAGAGATCGTCGTCTTGGGTGCCAGAATGTACTGCGTCTTCGCCAGGGTCGCGCACCTCGGAGTGGGATTCGTGCAGTTTTGCTGCGGAGTCTGACCGCGACTTAGAGAGCGGAAAGAGGGAGCATTCGTTTCTACGGATCGTCGCCTTTGGAGCGATACTTGTTCATTTGTTCGAGGGTCAGAGGTGGGCCAGGGACGGCAGGGCATACAGGGGGGAGGCTTTACGCATACCACTCTGTGGCCAGGGGGTGACGGAATGATATGCAGTTCTAGATTACATGGAACAAGAGTGCAGCCAGCTGGGGCCGCCTTGGGCGCTTCAACCTCTCGCGGCATTCCGTCGAAACCCTTGGGGAGGGGCAAGCCCCGAATTTGAAGAACGAGTTGTGTGAGAGGTAATTCTAAACAACCTACGCCCATAGATGAGATAACAGAGGAGTGGCAGAAGGCGGAGCAATGGCTCCCACAATAATTCCGATATCGACGGATCACATCTTCCAGGCCCCACGGGGGGGCCCGATGGATTTGGATCCATGACTCGTCGGTCTGGAGCCAGGACGACACTTTCTGCGTCAAGGACGACAGCGAGAACATCCTCATAGAGCGTGTGAACGCGAGTGGCATTGGCCTCACCATCGGATCCATTGCGTCGAACGTGCGAAACGTCACCTTCCGCGACGCTTACATGCACCATTCTGGTAAGGGGATATATGTGAAGTTCCGGGGTAATGGGCGCATCGAGGACGTAACCTACGAGAACATCGTTATGGACGCGCCGGAGCGTTGGGCCATTTGGATCGGCCCGGCCCAGCAATCAGATTCACGAGACATCTGCGCTGCACACCCCTGCAGCTTGTGCTGGCCACTTTTCAAGCCCTGGGCCAAGTGCAATGCCCCGGACCAGGCCTCCTTCATCAACGTGACCTTGCGCAACATTACGATCAGGAACCCGAAGATGTCGCCCGGCGTAATCCTGGCCAGCGCGTCGTCGCCAATGCAGAACATTACATTCGATAATGTCGTGGTGGAGAACGCGCCCAACAAGCCCTTCGATGGCTATTTTTGTGAGGGCGTCCAGTCGGGCTTGGCAACTGGCACGACCTCTCCGGTTCCCTCGTGCTTCAAAGATTGGACCGAATCTCGGCGAGCGGACGACGAACTCTCAATATGACGGGCTCTGGGCCGTGAGCCGCAGCGACAGTTGTTTGCACTTTCTGCAGCTGCCACCGCAGGTGCAGGAATAACCAGAGGAGCACTCTTGAAGAGTTTGGGCCGCACGTGGCGTCATCGGTACCGGCTCCTCCACCGGTGGGACCGCGGCAGTCACGGGATGCCTTCGCCGCTGTGGCCACAGATGGCATAATATGCGAAGACTTCCCGACTGCGCAGGAATGAAAGATTCAGAGGGACGCAGTGACAGAGAGAGGGAGAAAGAATGAGAAAGACAGAGAGAGAGAGAGAGGGAGAGAGACGCACATTGCACGCACCTCACGCGAACAGGCAGACAGAGAGCCACTGGGAACGGCTCAAAGCACACCAGCAGGAGGCGTACCAGTCACACCACGCGCCCGCGCCCACACACACACACACACACAGAAGCCTACCACACCGACACAATCTCGCACTCAGACCCGCGGGTGGCATCAGCACCGGAACCTGCCGAAGTAGGCAAATCCGCTATGAACCGTCGGTTGGTGAAGCACGCACACCTCATCGGATCCTGGAGCCGTCAGTATCCCATCTTGTTCTCCCTCTCTCCTTTGTCTCTCTCTCTCTGTCTCTCTCTCTCTCTCTCTCTTTCTGTCTCTCTTTATCCCGATCCCTGTATCGCTCTAAGTCTCTCTCTCTCTCTCTCTCTCTCTCTCTCTATATATATATATATCTCGTTCTCTGTCCCTCTCTCTCTCTCTCTCTCTCCCTCTCTCCCTCCTATGTCCTATCTCTCCCGCTCTCTCTCTTTCTCTCTCTCTCTCTCTCTCTATTTCTATCTCTCTCTCTCTCTCTCTCCCTCTCTCCATATACTATATAGATGTGCATTTGTGTATGTGAACCGGCCTCTCTCTCTCTCTCTCACTCTCTCCCCCTTTATGTCTGTCTCTCTCTCTCTCTCGCTTTCTCTCGCTGTCTCTCTCTCTTTCTCTCTCTCTCTCTCTCTCTCTTTCTCTTTCTCTCTCTCTCTCTCGCTCTCCCTGTCTCTCTCTACACATATATATATATACATTACCCCGGTACCAATTAATATCTCTCGCTCTATCTAAACATCGTTTGTGAGTTTTCTCTCTCTCTCTCTCTCTCGCGGTGTATATCCTTATATACGTATGTGTATGCATACATGTTTCTCTTCTTTAGTGTGTATACATATACATATATATGTATATACATCTATATGTGTATATATATATAGTTCCCTCTCTCTCTCTCGTTGTCTCTCCCTCCCTCTCTCTCTCTCTCTCTTTCTCTCTTCCTCGCGCCCTTGTGTTCACACCAGTGCCCCTCTCTCTCTCTCTCTCTCTTGCGCGTGCATGCCGGCAGTGCGTCCGTTCCATAGCTTCCAGGCTCAGGGCGAGCCACGGGCCCAGGGAGCGCACACAACCGGTTGGTTCGGCTTCCACCCCGATCCCTGGGTCTCCCGTGTGCAGTGGAATTCGTTAGGGGGCCACATGCGAGACCCAGCCCTACCCTCCGCGACTTCCGAGGGGGAGGGTGGGGTTCCCTTCGCTCGGGAGCTCCCGAACGAAGTGAACCCCACCCTCCCACTCAGAAATCGTGGGGGGTAGGGGTAGGGTTCGCACGTGGCCCCCTACTCGTGGGACATCCCAAAAGGGGAGTCTCTAACATCGTGCTCAGGCTACGGTGTGGCGAGACTCACGCCCCAGACCTTGGCGCGCGGTCCATCCGTTCAGTGTTGCCTGCTTGTGCGTCGTTGTTCCCTCCTCTTCGAGCCCAACGCCTCCCTTATCACATAACCAGATCATGCCACGGTGGCATTGCCACCATGGCTCGTGACGGTCGTTGTGTCAGAGGACGTGTTCACCCTCGTGAAGAGCTTGGTTCGTAGACCAGAGAAACGGCTGAAGGCCACAGTGGGGTCCTCCATCTAGCATCATCAGGCCGTTGGCCCCAAATTTTCGCAGATGGAGAAGATTTGGCGTCGCTCCACATCCACCTCGAGGCACACGAGAACCAGACTCGAGCGATGTTGACCGTGGCCAGCCTGAGACAAGCCGACGGGAAGGAGGATGACGAACCACCATCGGTTTTGAATCCGACAGCCACACCTACAACAGCAGCGACAGGATGCCGACGAGATGTTGCTCCCCTCTTCGACCGAGGAATGGGAATTGCAACCCATCAAGCAACATTAAGTAACGTCAAGTGGCTCAGGGTGCACGATCGTTCCTCCAGCATGCTCTCTGGCAGAAGTCCGGTCCCTCGAAAGGTCAAGTTGTAGCAGAGATCCAGAATTGGTTGTGGGCCGCCAGTACCATCGTCACAGTCGAGCGTATGTCTCTACTGATCTCGCCTTCCTCTCAGAGTTTATTGGTGCTCAGCCAAATCAGTTGAGCGCATTTCGTGGCCCTCCGTTCTGGGCCACCATCAGCGGTGTATTGCTTATGTCGGGTCTCACGCTTGCGCGCAGAAGCTCGATCGTCATCTCTTACAGGATGGGCCAGGCAAGTTTTCCATATTCCCCCAACCGGGCGGCGTCGAGATTCGAACGATTTCGACGAGCTGACCGTGCTGATTGCGATCCACAGCATGTTAGACATGCCGACTGAACCCGCACAACGCAGTGGTGCACGATCTGGGCTCGCAATCGTCGGTGTACCTTGGGGAAGCGGTTCTGAGGACAGGCAAGTTTTCTGGGGCGTTCGGTCGTGTCCAGGAACATTTCCGAGGATTCCTGTTTCCATGGGTTCGTCCAGGGAGTCGTCCTCGATATCCCGAGCTCCGACGAAGTACAGGCTCCTTTTTCTTTATCCCGTCCCTGCGGCTGCCGACCGAATCAGCCAGTTTCCATCTCGAAACGTTAGCGATCAGACGTTTCCGAACCACTTCGAGTCGAGCCGACGAATTCGAATCCGAATCTGTGAGCCAACGACGAGGACTAGGGACAGTCTACACCAACCCGGCAACGACGAAAATGAGACGACGGTCCCAACCATGGCGTCTACTACATCTTCTCTGGTCACCTCCCCCACAGTCTGGTTGGCGGCTACTCCAGCAGCGTCAGATGTGAAGGTCCACGAAGCACGGGCCCCTAGGTCGGTGTACTGGCGCTCTGCCGAAGGCGGCCCGTATGGGGAGTTGCACGTGTTGCAGGTCAGAGGACACTTCCACTTAACCCAGCAGGAACGCATGCTGTAGATGTTGGCGCACCACCCTCTCGGATTCCTCTTATCAGACCTAGCAGGCAAATGGTCCGCTCTTCAAGCGTGTGTAGTGGAACCTGTCTGTGGCCCAGGCCCACCGTGGCCAGAAAAGCCCCCTAGTTCCTTCTTCTGCATCCCTCATGGTAGCACGATGGCTGTACTCCACCAACTGCCAACCTCCTCATCGCTGCTCGTCCTCCTCCACATCTTTCCCCCCCCTTTCTCAGTGACAGCCCTCCCCCATCATCCGTCTCATTTGTCATCCTCCTGCTCTCCTCCTCCGATCCGCAGCCGAACGGGGTCTTGCTTGGGGGTGGCCGTTCCAGGTTTAACCCGGCGGCGACGAAAGCAAAAACGATGGTCCCCCCCCCCACTCCCTCCGCACTCACCCACTCGCTTCGGTCGGTCATTGCCGGTCTGTGTGCGCTCGGTTTCCGTAGCCGTGCGGTTGGTCCCTCGGTCTTCTCTACTCATCCTCCGGACTGCGGAACCCGTGATCTGCTTCACGGCGTGACCCCCCAGAGGTCTGGACCCCTTTCCCGTGGATTGGGTTTTCATCCTGACTAACTGTTGACGGTCACGGGGGCCGAAAAAAGGGCCCGAGAGGCCGAAAGTTGCCGGCGCATCTCCGTCGTGCCTTTTCGCGGTGCGAGGGGTTGGGGTCCTGGGGTCGACGGGCGACCCCCGGATCTGCCCAGAGGTGCGTTCTGGCCAGAATTTCGAGGCGAGCCCTGCCGTGGCGACGAGTAGCCTCCAGGAGGCCCGAAAATGGCCAAACGCCTCCAACTCCCCCCCCCACCCCCCTACCCTCCCCCCCTCGCCTGCTCCCTGGACTCCTGATGGGGTCCGTCCTGATTAATTTTCCACCCCAGATCGATCTCTGACGGCCAGGGAGCCAGAAACGGGCACCCAGACGCCGAGAATGAAAGGAAACGTCTTCAAACCCCACCCTCCCTCGAACCTCGAACCTCCCCCCTGGTGAGGCTTCGGGTTGCGCGCATGCGGTCAGCGTGCCCTCCAGGGCGGTCTCAACACCTCAACCCTGGGGCGCGAGCGCCTCAGGGTGCTGAGACCGCCCCGGACTGCTGGCGGGCCGGTTGAGGCCAGCTGGGACTATGTGGGGCAACCCGAAGCCTCACCCCCCCATCTTTGGGGAAACCAAAATGTACCGATACCGCTGCCCCCCGGGCCTCTCCCAGGGTGCGTTCTGACCAGGATGTCGAGACGATTCCAGTGGTGGCGACGAGGGCCCCCAAGGAGATCCCAAAAAGGGAAAGCGGGCGAAGGGTAGAGGTATGGGTACCTTTTCCTCCTCCGAACCTTCCCCTCCCCGTTAGTGATTGGCTAAGCTAAAAAAATGTGGATTGGAATCACTAAACCAGGACTGCCGTAGCTGATGCTTTTCGGGTTAATACAATTCCGGTTAGTGGAATGGGACGGGGGGGGCGCCCCCCGGTCCCACTAAACCCAGGTCGGCCAACGCCCGACCGAGGCCCCACCACCACCCCCACCTTCGCCTCCCCTGCCCCCCCCGCCGTGCCGCGGCAGCCCTGGGCGGCGGAGCCGCTGTGCGGGTCGCCTTCCTCGGCGCCGTGGGCGCCGACGCACACGGGGAGACCCCGCCCCCCTTGGCACGGGCCCCCCTCCTGGGCTGCCAGGCTCTGCGACCACCCGGGAACCCTGCCCTCAAGTCGGGCGGAGCTTCGACAGTTTATGCTCCTGTCGTTTTTTTTTCATTTTCATGAGGGCAAGGACTCCTGAGAGAAACGGTCCTGAGCTGTTTCACCGTTTTGGTGCCTCTCGGGCACTCCACGGGCCCCGGGCCTGTCAGGAACTGGTGCAGGAGGAAAATCCGGCGCTGGGGGAGGGCACAGGGGTCCCGGGCTTAAGTCGGGCTTGTCCCTCTACAGGAGGAATATCCAAAAATAGTCAGGGACGATGTTTTGACCATGTTTGCCCATTTGGGGGGGTATTTTTTAGTATGTTTTGTTTTTCGCCCAAGATCCCCCTGTAGGGGGACGCGCCCGACTATATCCTACTCGCCAGGAAGGGTCCTGAGGTTTTTCGTCGTCCTCTCGCTCTCGTGGCCCTCCCCGGGCCCCAGGACCGTCAAAAAACGGCTCGGGATAAGACTGGTCCGGGCCCAGGACCCGTTTCCTCGGCAGGCCTCCCAGACTCAGCATTTTAAGCCGGAGTGCACCCACAAGCTAGCCTACCACTACGGGTACACCGGGCGCCGGGATATTGGACACCCCCGTTGGGGTTCATTTGGCTGGAGACATCCTTCAAATTCTGAGCCATCAGGTTTTTAAGAAGTCTGGCTTGCAGCTGTCGGGTTCACATGTGGCTGCCTGCTGGCGAGAGGTGTCGTTAGGCGCGCGGTAGCAGACGGGAACGTTCAGATCTCGGCGTCGCGGATTTCTCATAGCAGGCGGTTTCGCCCTGTCTCGGGCCCCTGGAACCTCACGCATCGATCCAGCTCGCCGCAGAAAGATTGAGTCTATGGCTCCGGACGTGACTTCAAGCGGACTTTCATGTTTTTCGCGACGTCGGATCTCGGACAAGGGGGCGGTGAGGATGGAGGGGTCAGGGGTCCTAGCCAGACCGAAAAGAAGAGAGTTCCCCAGGGTTGGTCAGGTATTTCCCCCCTGGGAGGAGGAGCCCTAACCAAGCCGGGATCGTCCCCTCCTCCTCAGTCTAGCTAGGGTTTCTCTGTTTCAGGGGCGGGAGCACGTGCAGATAGCAGGGGGGGTCCCACAAGTTGGACTCGGCGATGACAGTTCAGATTCGTGGTTTGCTCGTTCCAGTTTGTGCCTTACGCATCAACGAGTACCAGCGAGGATGAGGGATGAGCAGCAGCTGGAGGATCAGGCGGGGGAGGAGAAGGACGACGACGACGACGGCGACGGCGGCGGCGGCAGCGGTAGCGGTAGCGGTTGCGGTGGGCTGCGGGCCCCCCGCGGCGCCACATCGCAGGCGCGCGCGCCTCGCTCGACGAGGAAATTAGCCTGGCGAAGAACCCAACCATATGCAGTTGTCAGTACCGCAGCTGCGGGTTTCATCTTCAATGGAACTCCCCATCGGACTACGGAACGTGTGAGGGGTGTGCCGAGATGGGTGCCACTGGGGCATTCGGCGAAGCTCCCCATGGGGACATGAAACACGCGCGGGGCGTGCCGACATGGGTGGCGGAAACGCATGTGCGGGCCGCCACTGGGGCCTCCAGTGGAGCTCCCTATGGGTCCCCGAAACATGATGCTGCTGCGGGGGGGGGCCGGGATGGTTGGCGGAGACGCATGTAAGCGCCGCAACTGGGGCCTTCGGTGGAGCTCCCTATGGGGCCACGAAGCGCGTGAGGGGTGTACTGGGATGTGCGGCGGGGACGCATGTGAGCGCCGCCACTGGGGCCTTCGGTGCAGCTCTCTATGGGGCCACGAAACGTGTGAGGGGGGTGCCGAATTGGCTGCGGGTGGTGACGCATGCGGGCGGTGCCACTGGGGCCTTCGGTGGAGCTCCCTATGGGGCCACGAAACCTGTTGTTGTGAGGGGCGTGCCGGGAGGGGTGGCGCGGACGCATGTGAGCGCGGCCGTTGGGGCCTTCGGTGGAGCTCCTTATGGGACCACGAAGCGTGTGAGGGGTGTGCCGAATTGGGTGGGTGTGGGTGACGCATGTGAGCGCCGCCACTGGGGCCTTCGGTGGATGATGGGGCCACGAAAACTGTCAGGGATGTGCCCAAATGGGTGTGCGAGACGCATGCGCATGTGAGCGCCGCCACTGGGGCCTTCGGTGGAGCTCCCTATGGGGCCACGAAGTGTGTGAGGTGTGTGCCGAGTTGGGTGTGCGTGACGCATGCGGGCGGCAGAACTGGGGCATTCGGTGGAGCTTCCTATGGGGCCACGAAACGCGTGAGGGGTGTGCCGAATTGGGTGTGCGGGACGCATGCGGGCGGCAGCACTGGGGCCTTCTGTGGGGCTCCCTCTGGGGCCACGAAGCGTGTGAGGGGTGTGCCGAATTGGGTGTGCGGGACGCATGCGGGCGGCAGCACTGGGGCCTTCGGTGGGGCTCCCTATGGGGCCACGAAGCGTGTGAGGGGTGTGCCGAATTTGGTGTGGGTGACGCATGCGGGCGGCAGCACTGGGGCCTTCGGCGGAGCTTCTACTATGGGGCCACGAAACGTGTGAGGGGTGTGCCGAATTGTGTGTGGGTGACGCATGCAGGCGGCAGCACTGGGGCCTTCGGCGGAGCTCCTATGGGGCCACGAAACGTGTGAGGGGTGTGCCGAATTGGATGTGGGTGACGCATGCGGGCGGCAGCACTGGGGCCTTCGGTGGAGTCCCTATGGAGCCACGAAACGTGTGAGGGGTGTGCCGAAATGGGTGTGGGTGACGCATGCGGGCGCGGGCACTGGGGCCTTCGGTGGAGCTCCCTATGGAGCCACGAAACGTGTGAGGGGTGTGCCGAAATGGGTGTGGGTGACGCATGCGGGCGCGGGCACTGGGGCCTTCGGTGGAGCTCCCTATGGAGCCACGAAACGTGTGAGGGGTGTGCCGAAATGGGTGTGGGTGACGCATGCGGGCGCGGGCACTGGGGCCTTCGGTGGAGCTCCCTATGGAGCCACGAAACGTGTGAGGGGTGTGCCGAAATGGGTGTGGGGGACGCATGCGGGCGCGGGCACTGGGGCCTTCGGTGGAGCTCCCTATGGAGCCACGAAACGTGTGAGGGGTGTGCCGAAATGGGTGTGGGTGACGCATGCGGGCGCGGGCACTGGGGCCTTCGGTGGAGCTCCCTATGGAGCCACGAAACGTGTGAGGGGTGTGCCGAAATGGGTGTGGGTGACGCATGCGGGCGCGGGCACTGGGGCCTTCGGTGGAGCTCCCTATGGAGCCACGAAACGTGTGAGGGGTGTGCCGAAATGGGTGTGGGTGACGCATGCGGGCGCGGGCACTGGGGCCTTCGGTGGAGCTCCCTATGGAGCCACGAAACGGTGCACTGGGTGGGTGAAGAGGAGAGGAGGAGAGGAGGGGAGGAGAGGAGGAGAGGAGAGGAGAGGAGAGGAGAGGCGAGGAGAGGAGAGGAGAGGAGAGGAGAGGAGAGGAGAGGAGAGGAGAGGAACGCGGGGCACCGTCTCTTCAAAACGAGGACCCAACACCACAGGATGGTTGGGAAAAACTTCTTCAACATAATTTGTCGGAGCTCCGCGCGGATTTCTCGGATCGGCGTTGAGACCCCTCGGTGACGCCTTCAGCGCCCCCGTTGGCGCGCTCCGCGCGCCGGGGAAGGGGGTCCAGCGCCGATCCGAGAAGTCAGCAGCGCGTGTCTCATAGACGGCATGTTCATGCCGTTGTTTGTTCTTCTACTCTCGCGCGTGCGGCGCCGCCCAGGAGCTGCTGCGGTGCGCGGCGCGGGAGGCTGGCGTCGCGGCTCTGTTGAAGGAGGCCCGCCGGAAGGGCTCAGGACTGGTCAGGACTATTCGGGGGCAGGTGGAAACTAGAGGGGGAAAAAAAGTACCCATACATACTGTTACCCTTGCCTCGTTTTCGCCTTTGGGGGCCTCTTGGGAGGCCCCCGTCGTCAGCGCTGGAACCTCCTCACTTCCATGGGTGGGGGGGTGATCCTTGTCAAACTGGGGCTCTGACATGTCATTGGATCTTATCAACCCACCGCTTCGCGTAGCTGCCTTTTTTTTTTGTTCCCAACCATCCTGTGGTGTTGGGTCCTCGTTTTGAAGAGACAGCGCCCCGCGTTCACTCCTTCGTTCCTCCCGCTGCCCCCTCCCTCGTCACCGCACCCATTTCGGCACACCCCTCACACGTTTCGTGGCCCCATAGGGAGCTCCACCGAGGGCCCCAGTGGCTGCGTCGGCATGGCGGCACCGCACCCATTTCGGCTCACCCCTCACACGTTCGTGGCCCCATAGGGAGCTCCACCGAGGGCCCCAGTGGCTGCGTTGGCATGGCGGCACCGCACCCATTTCGGCACACCCCTCACACGCTTCGTGGCCCCATAGGGAGCTCCACCGAGGCCCCAGCTGCCATGGCGTTCGGCACACCCCTCACACGCTTCGTTAGGGAGCGGGCCCCAGTGGCTGCGTTGGCATGGCCGCACCCATTTCGGCACACCCCTCACACGTTTCGTGGCCCCATAGGGAGCTCCACCGAGGGCCCCAGTGGCTGCGTTGGCATGGCGGCACCGCACCCATTTCGGCACACCCCTCACACGCTTCGTGGCCCCATAGGGAGCTCCACCGAGGGCCCCAGTGGCTGCGTTGGCATGGCGGCACCGCACCCATTTCGGCACACCCCTCACACGTTCGTGGCCCCATAGGGAGCTCCACCGAGGGCCCCAGTGGCTGCGTTGGCATGGCGGCACCGCACCAATTTCGGCACACCCCTCACACGCTTCGTGGCCCCATAGGGAGCTCCACCGAGGGCCCCAGTGGCTGCGTTGGCATGGCGGCACCGCACCCATTTCGGCACACCCCTCACACGTTTCGTGGCCCCATAGGGAGCTCCACACAGGGCCCCAGTGGCTGCGTTGGCATGGCGGCACCGCACCCATGTCGGCACACCCCTCACACGTTTCGTGGCCCCATAGGGAGCTCCACCGAGAGCCCCAGTGGTTGCGTTGGCATGGCGGCACCGCACCCATTTCGGTACACCCCTCACACGTTTCGTCGCCGAGGGCCCAGGACAGCGCTTCGTGGCCCCATAGGGAGCTCCACCGAAGGCCCCAGCGCTACCGCCCGCATGCGCCCCGCACGCCCAGGACAGCGCTTCGTGGCTCCATAGGGAGCTCCACCAAAGGCCCCAGTGCTACCGCCCGCATGCGTCCCGTTCGCCCAGGACAGCGTTTCGTGGCACGCCTTGCGTGGCCCCATAGGGAGCCCCACCGAAAGCGGCACCCACAAAGCGTTATTCACAATTGCATATGGTTGGGTCCTTCGCCTGGGCATGTTCCAAAATGTCATATTCTTAATAATAATAATAATAGCAATAACAATAATAATAATAAAAGTAATAATAAGAATAAGATTATTACTAATCATGATGATGATGATAATGATAATAACAGTGATAACGATACGAATAACAATACTACTAATAATAGTGATAAGAAGGATGATGATGATAATGGTAATACTAACTAATACTACTACGAATAATAATAGTAATAATAATAACAACAACAATAATAACAACAATAGTAATAATAATAGTGGTGATAATAGAAATGATAAAGACGGGTTGCGCAGGGGCGGCAGCACGCCGGGCGCTCGTCAATCGAGGGGGGCGTTTTCGCAATGAACTGGGAAATTTGGAGGGATTGCGGGGAGGGGCTGTGGGACGGGAGGGTGTATTGCAGCATCGCTGATGCATCCTGAATTTGCTCTGGTCGTCCGTTTCCTCCTCCCCCTCCCCTCCATCATCCCCCCCTTTTACCTCCTCATCTTCATATGTCGCCGCGCCGTTTGCTCCGACGCGCGGGCTTGCCGTGGGTTTGCCGTGTCGTCGGCGTCGTCCATTTGGGTGCGTCGAGGCCAAAAGGCGCAGCGACGCATTCCTCCTCCATCTTTCCTCCACTATCCTCCTTTCTCCCCCCTCCCAATGTTTTTTTCTTCGTTATGTTTCGTCGTTCCTCAGTTTCCTGTCTCCGTTCCTTCCTCATCCCTCTTCCTCCTGCTTTCAGTCCTCTCCTACCCCTTCCTAGATGGCAGCAGAATCCAAAAGCACCCCGACAGTTGTTGCTTTTGCCTCATCCTCCTCCCCCTTCCATCCCTCCTCCTTACGCTCCTTCGTCGTGTCATCATGTACCCTCCACCTCCTCCTTCACATCCTCCCCCTCTCCTCTCCTGTTTTCCTCCATTCCCCCTCATGTATCGTATCCGGGCCCCCCCTCCTCCCATTCCTCCCTCGTCGCCCTCATCCTTAGTTGGTACTCCTTGATGGTGCCCTCAGAAGATTCGGGCGTGGCGGCCGTGTTGCAAGACGGACGCGTGTTGCATCATCACCGCCACGAGCATCGACAAACGTGCATCCGTCTGTAGCCTTCCTCCCCTTTTCCTCATACTAGTCATTCTTCATGCCCGTCCACCTTCGCGTCACCATTCTGCCGCGTGGGAATGTTCCTGATCATCGTCGTCATTCTCATCCACCCTTCCAACGTCCACCTCATTCATTCCATCCTCCTCCGCCTGGTTTACCTGTTCCTTCTCCTCCTCGTCTTCTTATCCCCAGGAGAACGGACTGAGGCGGGGAACAGAAGAAGGAGTAGCAATACTTAACAGAGAGGAGGAAGGGGAAGAGGAGGAGGAGGAGGAGGAGGTGTGGCAAGGGGGAGTCACGGCCCGTCGGCCCCCACCGCTTTCACTTAAATTGTGCACTGCCGTTCCAACCCGCACGTCTTTGCTAGTTTTTTCTCTTGTGGTACAGGGCAACGTTGTTCTTCTCGATCCGAAGAAACCGCGGTGGTCATGTGGCAAGTCCAGCAGGAGCGAGAAGCTTGCGTCAGGTTGCGATGCGTCGTCGGGGCACATGCGCCCCCTTCGGTCGCCAAGCCCGCGCGCGTAGCCTACGGGTGGTCAGTCGCTGGTGACGGGTTCGGAGGGCAAAATTCCAAACGGAACTTGGGGTAAAGAACCACCCAGAGCTTCAGCCAGCAAGGAAATCCTGGACCTCTCGAAGAAGGTCAAGGCATGCTGCAGCAGGTCAGCCAGCTCGCCACCAGCAAAGACCGTCAGAGCCAGCAGCCGCCCAAGTCGGACACACCCAACGGGGGCGATCAGATAGTACCCGACTTCAGCAAGATCTTGCAAACCGATTGCAACACTTGCGCAATAGTTTCAAGTTGGCCGTTTTCGAGACGCACCAGGAGCTTGCAGGCAACAGGACCAGTGAAGTGAGGGATCCCTTCGGCGCGGCGGCGAAGCCTCCCGAGGCGGTCCATGCGCACATCTTTCAGAGGGTGGCGAAGGCCAAGACCCTGCAAGCCAAAGTATGCACAGCCCTTGTGGTTCGTCGCGGGGAGGTTGCCACGGCAAAGGAGGCGCTGGATAATGAGCTGTCAGATATGGCGGCGGCGTGCAGGGAGACGAGCGTTGCGGTGCAGCGTTTGCAGGATATGGCCAAAGCGTCTTTCGAGCAACAGTTCGTGGGGGGGCGGTCCTCAGGTTCAGGTCCGGGGATAGCGCTTGACCCCAGCCAGCCCTCCGAGGACCAGATGTCGAAGGTCGGCAGCGGGTTCAAAGAATGGCTGGCCGCGCAAAGGGGAACGTCGATTAAATCATGAATCTCCCGCGGGTTCAGGCGCCTGCTTTTGCCGCTGCTGCTGCTTCAGCTTGGGGCGGCGCAGCCACTGGAGTGGACGCCCCGGTTGGAGAATCAGACGACGTGGAGTTGGACGAAGATTCGTTTCGCAGCTTCAACGAGACAGCGGCCAGTGCAGCAGCTTCGATGGATGAGGGGGACGCAGACGACAGCAGCGAGAGTCCAGAAGCGATCAAGCGGGCGGTCACAGAGGCGATCAAAGCTATCAAAGTTCCAGGCGAACGACAGAAGCGCGGGTAATATTTGACGCCAGAAGGGGGGCGGAGAGAAGCTGCCGGATCGGAGGCAATTCGGATGTGTCACACAGTGACTGCCAACATTTGGGCGAGTCAGATGCACAGATGTTGTTGCAGGGTGGCATGTGGCTGGAGGCTCGAGAGAGATGCCGGCTTCCTGGCCATCACGTCTTGGCAGGCCAGGAGACGCGCAGAAGTGAGGAGAATGAAACACGGAGGGTGTCAGGCTGGATGACGCTGAATGGGTTTGAAGCAGCGGCTGCGCCGCGCGCAGTCAAAGGCAAGCACCGGATGGCCACTTCAAGGGGAGTATTGGCACACGTGGCCGCGCACGTCAGAGCAGCTTGCTACTCCCGGAGCTACTTGAGCGGCTCGATCAATCCATGGTATGGCCGTTTCGCAGCGGTCAAGGCTTCGGCTGTGGTGCCAGGGGGGGATCACGATCTTCTCCGTCTATTTGATTGACGGCGCTGGCTTCGCAGGCACCAACATCTGCTTGTCCAAAAGCTCGGGCAAGCTCCTAGCGGGCACATCGGGCGCCCCGCGTCGCCGGGGGCGACTGGAACAGACCTGCAGAGAACGACGGATTCACGAGCTGGGCGAACATGCCTGGGAACGCCATCAGCACCACGGACAGTCCGACGTGCGATCCCCCCAAAGGGGAAGCTCGGAAGCTGGGCACTTCCGCGCCCGCAAGTCTCGGCTCGTTTGATGAGCGGATCACGATCCACAGTTCGGCACCCATTGAGACGCGTGTTGAGACTTGGCTCAGTGGCATTTCGTGGAACCTCGCGGTTCAGGCCCGCTCATGGGGCGGGAGCTGGAGGCGGAGTTCTGCAGCCGCATCCACCCCGCGGGCCCGGCCTCGACAGCGCG